TAAAACGAGTGTATCGGGTAGAAATCCAATGCGGATTATATTCACACCGTACCATCAAAAGTCTTATGGATAGACCAAGATTTGCCCAGCATAAGTATGAAGGTATGAAGCTTGATAAGTCAACTAAGCTTCGCTTAGCATATGTTTGAAGGTATAAAGCTAGTGAGTCAGCTGAGCTTCGCTCAGCATAAGTTTGAAGTTATAAAACTAGCGAGTCTTCTAGGACCTTTTATAACCAATTTTGCTTCGTTTTCTCTCAAAATGCGAAAAATTGATTTTTCAATCTGAACAAAACCAATAGATTCACACGTGAAAACGGTGTGAATATAAAAATTAAATAAAAATAAATTATCGACATCTTGTTTGATGCCAACACTTCAAAAATGTATTTCACGTGATTAACAAATAAAAATCTTACTTTGGTGAATGTCCATAGTTTTTAAATGAATATTTACCTTCGAATTTAGCACTCAGAATATTTGCATGCAGAGAGACAAGTAAGGAACAATGTAAAAACAAAACTCTAAAACATTTAAATAAAATTTGATGATATCACTCTTAAGAACTTTTAAAAATAATCAATTAAGCTTCTGTTTTAAAAATTGGTTGACTGGAAAAAAATTCTCTGAAAAGCACACTGAAGTCACAGAAAAAAAAAACTTCAAGTATGATAAATGAATGCAATATTAGAACATTTGAAGCATTTACGATATAATTTTTGAGATAAGATTGGTATTTACTTCATAGAAAGACTCAAAAAGACTCGTTCAAATTCTTAAGTTTTTGGACTTTTTAAAATTTCCACCTCTTTTTTTCAAAAGATATAAAAATTTTTATATTGTGGCAATTCTTTTTTCTGCTATCTCGATGTGCTTTTCAGCGTTTTTTTGAAGTTGGTTAACCTTGGTAAACTTTAACAAAATATAAAACAAGTTCTTTGAAAAGCCAGACTTTGTGGTGACTAATATAATTGTTGAAAAAAGAATCGAATCCTTTCATTTAGATTTTTGAAATTTAAAACGTAAATCAATAAATTCATTTTTTTTTTCTTCAAAGCGGATCCATTTAAAATCTTATAAAAGTATAAACAAACAGGTGAACTCAACATTCTTATAAGAATCTCTTTACGAAATGAGATTCTCATTAGCTCAAAACAAGTAGCGTCCTTCCACAAACAAAAAATTGAATTTTCAACAAGAATAGCTTCTGTCCACGACTTTAGAAGCTTACAACTTCAAATGAAAATATTGGCTTGTTACAGAATCAATTTGACAGTTCCAAAATATATTAATGAACAGATAAATGAAAACCGTTCATGCCCTGAATATTATTTATCAATTTGCAATATAGTTAACAAGTTATGAATATTTTTGTGTGTTTAATTTATTGATTAGCTTATAAAGTAGCTAACCTATAATAAAACTTCCTAACGGGAATGAGAATTATTGTGAATGGATATTGAAGCTTATATATTAATTCGAATTTAATTTTAAATTTGTGGCTTATTGATCGATTAAGTTCAAAGTAAACTGATTCATTTTCACATAATTAAATAAGATGAATATACTTTTAGCTTGCATTTATGTTGTGTAAGTCTTCTAATGCAGATTCACAAATCTTAAGCAACCATTTTGGGAGATTTTTGAGCATTTCTGTGCTTATTAAAAGAAAAAAATTCAATAATTCTCAATTATTGCTCAGCACGAAACAATTTACTGATCTTATTCTTTTAAGACAAATATTTATATGTTGAGCTTGCGCAGCTTCAAAACAACTTATTGACATGAGCTAGTATATTTTTTTTCACTTTCAAGTTGACAGTTCATTAATATCTACATTATATCTCTGTCGGTCTTTAATAGTCTCTTTTGATAAGATAGCCACAAGTCAATGGGCAACAAAAAATAAGAAACTATAGCACAAAACAAAAGAAAAAGGAGAAAGAAGAAAGAAATTGTTTATAACGGTGTAAACAGTTGACCCTCAAATCCAAAGTCTCTTTTATTTCTTTTTGCTCCTGATGAATAAATAAATAAATATGTGAATAGGTTGATTTTTGTTGTGGTAGAATATTAAACATCATGAATGAAAAACCTGTTTGTCTTGTTATTTATAGCCTAGAAGTCACCTTGAAAGTTATTTTTGCAATCTCATCAAAGTCATTTCATGTCCTTTTACATAACTTCCGATCAGATGCCAGTTCACTGTATTCTACTTGATAAGAACAACGGAATTACGGTTGTCATTATTGTCCTTATTTAAAATTATGTAATCATCTGTTAATATGACAATATAAAATTTAAAAAAAGACACATAAAATTGGTAATAATGATGGATGAGAAATAAAATTACTCCATGATTTCACTTGAGTCTGAAATATTCTCACGACATTCCAATGAAAAAAAAAATCATCCGTTTGTAGCAAATTTTTACTTGCTAAATGTCATTGCACCGTTTCTTAAGTGAATTTTTGTTTCATAATTTTTTGATATTTTTAAAGTAAGAAGTGGAATTGACTTATGGTTTTGGAATAAACAAATTTCACACAATTAGTCAATAAATGATCTGTGCTGATCATAAAAACATTAGAAAATTGAAGTCTAGATACCCAAAATCAGATACTTACTAACAATTATGTTAATGTCGGTATTATTTTGTCCCATCATTAAATAATTGTCTATCAGACTTACATGACGTTAGAATAGTGTCTATTGTCTTGATACGTAATGTGCATTATACATGCATTTTCTCAATTTATGTCTCTCTTCTTTCATTCATACATATACATCTACGGCAAATTGACATTTTCATTAAGTATAGTTAAATAAGAATGTACATGAAGCATTAAGTGTTTCAATTTGACTTACATTTTCTGTGAATAATGCAGGAGTTGCAAAGACTATTTTGATGCGATTTTTTCAGTAAAACCTTGTATGAAACGTCATCACATTTCTAATTCAGTTTAACGTTTTTGTAAGCATCATAAATGGTAGGTGATATTTTCTAAATTGTCAAGTTATTTGGATGCCGATAGCTATGAATGTATTGGTCTCTGTCTCTTTGTTAAGTTCATCGACCTACATTTTTACCTTCTCTTTCTTCCTCTCTCTCTACTCATTTTAACAAAACTTTTTTATGCTCATTTACGCACATAAGCTTCATGTAGCCAGTATACATTTTTCATTTATGGACATGGATGGACTTAATAGAATATACGCACATAAATGTTCATTCATTATTATTGATTACTTTAGAGTATCATTAGATGTATTGTTGAGCATGTAAAGTGCCCAATTTCTTATAATACAAAAAAAAAATTGCAAATGATCTTTGAGACAATCTCGTTCCTTAATGACAGTTGAATAGGCATTAAGAATTGCTTATTCACTTGTTTAGGAAGACTCTCAATGACTAGAGCGGTGGACTCAAAAATTTTTCTTGGATGAATTTCTATTCTGTTGCACACAGTCAAAAAAAAGTCGAGGACTAGCTTTATCTGCTTTCTAGAAGATACTTTGGTTATTTGGCTTAGAAATGTATAACTTTAATTGATCATGTAAGAATCGATTTTCGAACACAAATTTCAGAAAATAGAAAAATTTCTCTAAGCACTTAGACCTCTAAAAGCAACTCTGGTTTGAATATCTCAAATTTATGGCATGAAAATCTTTAAGTTTCGTACACGATTAATATTCGGTAGACCTTTCCAGACGAAATTTGTTATTGACATCAGAGTCTATACAACTTATGATGCCAATTATGATGGAGATGGTATTAGAGCCTAAGAAATCATCAACAATAAAGAGGAGAAATTTTTCATGCTTCTTTTATGCTTCAAGCAAAATGAAAAGAAAATTAAAAATAGAGAGAAATTTTACATAGTCTTTTGGAATAAAAGAAAAAAAAATAAAATGTGAATAAAAAGATAAGAAAGTTGACAGTCGGTGTGACTCATATTACGTTAGTAATTAATGCATTATTTCTGTTATTTAATTCTTTATATGGCATATCCACATTACACAAAAGTGCAAATGAAATTTGAAACAAACAAATAATCAACTTTGTTTTTTAAGTCACTTTCATCTAGTCTATTGACGTGGGATGGCTTAATTGAATGTAAAATTTCAATTCCTTTCTCCACACTTTGATGCTTACAAAAAATCATCCACTCCTTCAAATTGTACATGATCGAGAAATTCATGAATTCAATTCAATTTAAAAGAATAAAAAAATATTTCTTACTTCCACATACATGCTTCTTACAGCAATTCGTGTGCATTTTTTTTCTTTTTTGTTATGATTGAATTAAGTATTTAAAAAAGGAAATGTACTCAACTATGACGATTCGGAACAATTACTCTCATGAAATTCAATTTAAACATATTGATTTGAATTTGAAACATAAACTAGTAAGCATGTATGTGTAAATTATTATGAAATTGAATTGAGGGAATCTCCTCTAAACATGTTGATGACTTTACACTAGATTTATTTATTGTTGGATTTTATTCACGCATTAAACGAATAATTTATTTTTATTCACGCAATTTTCTATTCAGCATCGCCTGATGATATTTGCGTGCTTATCTAGGTTCTCATTTGAATGACAAGGAAATAATATTGTAAACGCTGGATGAAACAGCATTTAAATGCAGTTCGTATTTTATTAAGAAATACCAATTAATTTTGAGGATTATATTTTAGCAATAGTGGATTGAGTAAGACAAATTTCACATAAAATCCATCACACGGTCTTCAATCATTATTGGCATTTTAAAAAATTTTTCATAAATTTCTTGAATCAACTAATATAGACATGTGGCTACTATTTCATTAATTTCAAATAAATCATTTGTATGTGGATTGTAATGATTCACTAGAAACGACTGCAGTGTTAATATTACATTGACAATGAATGAAGAGACTTTCCCTTTTTACAGTAAAATAATTTTTTAAAAAAATAATAATAAACTCTAATTTAAAAATTTATAAATTTACAGATTCGTATAACACAACAGTGCCATGTTCTAGTGGAATGTTTCAATGTTCCGACGGTAAATGTATACCACAAATTTGGGTATGTAATTACCAAAAGGACTGTGAGAAAGGCGAGGATGAATTTCAGTCATGTCCTCCTCCTGACTGTGAAAATGGTCAATTTAGTTGTGGCAGATATGAATTTAATAAGACATATTGTATTCCACCACATCACAAATGTGACATGATAGTAGATTGTGTGGATGGAAGCGACGAAGCAGAGTGCTGTAAGTTTGTTAAGAAGCTATTCTAAGTAGATCCAATAATTTAACTTTAATTTTATACAGCGTATCGCAAATGTCAACCAGATGATCTTCATTGTGGATTACCAAGCAATCTTACAAGTCTAAATACAGGTGGAAAGCAGTCAGATCCATGTGTGCCACCAGAAAAGAAATGCGACGGTTATCTCGACTGTCGTAGTGGGAAGGATGAAGAAGGTTGTACAGGCATTTCTTGTCGCCTTGACCAATTCAGATGTGCCAATGGCAATCGATGCATAGATAATGCATTGAAGTGCAATCACAAAAATGATTGCGGTGATAATTCAGATGAGACTGCTTGCAGTAAGTTTTCATTTTAAACTTATAAGATTGCAATAAAATATAAAAAATTTCTACTCAATAGATTTCCCACCATGTCATGGAGGTCAATTTAGATGTGCCAATGCTCTCTGTATACCAGCAAATTTTCACTGTGACGGATATCATGATTGTGCGGATGAAAGTGATGAAGCTAATTGTACAGCTATTGCATGCCCCGACAATAAGTTTTTGTGCCCCAATGGAGGCCCAAATAAAGCACCAAAATGTATTGCAAAATCACAATTGTGTGATGGAAAAAAAGATTGCGATGATGGCGCAGACGAGGAAACTGCTTGCTCAACATCTTCATGTCCAGCTTTAAGTTGTGAATATAAATGTGGTCAGTCATTAACTGGTGGACAATGTACATGTCCTACAGGAAAAATGCTCTCGAGTGATAATAAAACATGCTCAGATTTAGACGAGTGTATGGAATGGGGATATTGTGACCAATTATGTACAAACAGTGATGGTTCATACACATGTCATTGTGCACCCGGATATACACTAGTTGACAAATCACACTGTGTTTCACCGGACCCATCAAGCCTAGAGTTGATTTTTGCTTACGATAGAGCAGTCATGAGAATGCAACATCATGGATTAAATTCACACTCAATCGCAAATGCAACAGGTGCAAGCGGCTTAGCATATCATTACGAAAGAAATTTATTGTTCTGGTCTGATATCAAAACCAGAAAGGTTCAGTCATTACCATTAAATAATGGGGCATTTGCTGGAAGTGATTTAACACTTCCAGGAACTTGGTCACCAGGTGCTCTTGCTGTAGATTGGATTGGAGATAAGCTTTATGTCGCAGATTTAGTTGGTCAAAAAGTTGATGTATTTGAATTGGATGGAAGATGGCATGCAGTAGTTTTAGGCTCAAACTTGACAAATCCTGCTGATATTGCATTAGATCCAACATCTGGATTAATGTTTGTTGCTGATGGAGGACAAGTTATACGTGCTCACATGGATGGAACGCATGTTAAATCAATTATTTCTGAAGCAGCTTATAAAGCATCTGGCGTGACGACTGATGTTATTGCTAAGAGAATTTTCTGGTGTGATTCACTCTTGGATTATATTGAATCTGTAAATTATGATGGTCAGCATCGTGTGATGGTATTACGTGGTCAACAAGTTCCAAGTCCATCACGTTTGGCAATATTCGAAAATCGTGTTTATTGGACAGATGCAACTAAACAAGGAATAATGTCAGTTGATAAGTTTCAAGGCTCATCAAGCATCGAGTCAATTTTTAAGGCAAAAGATATTCGAGATCCTCGTGCGATTATTACTGTTCATAAATTGAGTCAACCAAAAGTAACCAATCCTTGTGGATCAAATAATGGAGGATGTTCACAACTTTGTATAGTTACAGCTATTGTTGGATCCGAAGACAAAACAGTTCCATCAAGTTTAGGTTATCGATGTGCTTGTCATACAGGATGGCAACTTGCTACTGATTTAAGAAACTGCTATCTAGTTGAAGAATTTTTGATGTATTCTCAACAAAGATTTATTAAGGGAAAGGTTCTTGACCCTGCAATTGAAGGTTTTAGTGACGCTATTTTACCTGTCGTTTCACGACGAGCTCGTTTCGTTGGATTAGATTTTGATTCACGTGATGAACACATTTATTACTCAGACGTACTACAAGATGTTATTTATCGTGTTCATCGTAATGGAACAGGAAGAGAAATTGTTCTTGCATCACAAAATGAAGGTGTTGAAGGTTTAGCAGTCGATTGGGCAGCAAAGAATTTATATTATATCGACAGTCGTAAAGGAACATTAAATGTTTTGTCCACAAGAAATGTTACACATCGTAGAACTTTATTAAAGAATCTCAAACGTCCTCGAGCAATTGTTGTTCATCCCAACAAAGGTTTTATTTATTTCTCAGAATGGGATAGACCTGCAAATATTACAAGAGCAAATTCTGACGGAACGAATCTTTTAGTCTTTAAAAACGTAACTCTTGGGTGGCCAAATGGTTTAAGCATTGATTTCATTGCTGATCGAGTTTATTGGTGCGATGCTTTATTGGATCATGTTCAACATTCAAATCTTGATGGAAGTGATATAAAAACAGTAAATTCAAGACTCATTAAACATCCATTCTCAATTGTAATCCATAATGATTGGATGTTTATTACTGATTGGCGTTTAGATGCAATTGTTCGACTTAATAAGCTCACCGGAGAACAAGAAGAAATTATGGTTCGTGAACCACAAACAAATCGTTTATATGGTGTAAAAGTCTACAGTCGTAAAACTCAGACGATTGCAAGTCAACATCCTTGTTCGTATAATAACGGTGGATGTGAGAAGATGTGTTTCGCAATACCAGATAATGTAACAGAAGTGTTGCATGCTAAATGTGCATGTCCTTATGGCGAACGATTGAATGCTGATGAACGTTTATGTACATTAGATCCAAGTGCAGAACCACCAGTCCAAGCTTGTCCAAATTCATGGGATTTCACATGTAGAAATCAACGATGCATTCCAAAGTCCTGGATTTGTGATGGTAAGCAAACGAAACACTTTTATTTGTATTAGTTCTTGATTTAAATGTTTTTTGGAATTTCCAGGTGATGATGACTGTCTGGATAATAGCGATGAAGAACAGAATTGTACGAGTAAGTTCAATATCAAAATTATTTTATGAATAAATCTCAATAAATAATTGAAATTAAAACTGTTATTTTTTATCTACAGAACCAACTTGTGGCTCAAACGAGTTTCAATGTAAATCTGGTCGTTGCATTCCACTCAACTTTAGATGCGACCAAGAAAACGATTGCGGTGATCATTCTGATGAATTTGAATGTGGAAATGTAACTTGTGCTGCTTCTCAATTCGCTTGTGAAAATGGACGATGTATTCCAAATATCTGGAAGTGTGATTCAGAAAATGATTGTGGAGATGGATCTGATGAGGGTGACTTTTGTGCTGAAAAAACATGTGCTTACTTCCAATTTACTTGTCCGCGTACTGGTCACTGTATTCCTCAGTCTTGGGTTTGTGATGGTAAGTTTTAATCAAATTTTATTGTTTTAAAGAACTGATTGTAAATTTTGACATTAATGTTCAGGTGATGACGATTGTTTCGACAAACAAGACGAAAAGGATTGTCCTCCGATAACATGTTCAGCGAATCAGTTTAAATGTGCTGACCTTCGGCAGTGTATAGAAGAAAATTATAAATGCGATGGAATTCCTGACTGTAATGACGGTTCGGACGAACTTGGATGTCCTTCAGTGGAACCAAATCAATGCAATCAAGAAAAACATTTCCGTTGCAAGACTTCTGGAATTTGCATTCCAATTGCATGGCATTGTGATGGTTCAAATGACTGCGACGATCATTCAGATGAACAAGAATGTGGAACAATTACATGCCCAAATAACTTCTTTAAGTGTAAAAATGGTAAATGTGTATTTAAGGCATATGTTTGCAATGGAGCAGATGATTGTGGTGATAATTCAGATGAATCGCATGAACATGCATGTGTTCCACCACCATTTAGATGCCCAATCGGGCAATGGGCATGTCCTGGAATTCATGAGCGATGTATTAATATCACATCAGTATGTGATCAAAAACCAGACTGTCCAAATGGATCTGATGAAGGAGAAGGATGTGATTTAGCTGAATGTATGCATCAAAATGGACGTTGTACAAATGGTTGTCAAAAGACACCTTTGGGTGCTTGTAAGTTTAGACTAATTTTTTATTCGATTTTTTCCTAATAACTCTTTTATTATTTTCAGTGTGTATATGTCCACCTGGAGAAGAATTATCGGATGATGGATTCACATGTAAAGATATGAATGAGTGTAATCCACCAGGCTTATGTTCTCAAAGATGTGTTAATACAAAAGGATCATACTTCTGTTCTTGTACCCCTGGATATGATATCTTACCTGATAAACATCATTGTAAAGCTGTAAATCATTCATCAGCATTCCTTGTGATATCAAATCGTCATTCGATTCTTGTTGCTGATTTGAAGGAACAGGGACTTGAAAGAGTTCCAATAATTGTCGAAAATGTAGTTGCAACAACATCAAACATGCACACAGGCACAATATTCTGGTCAGATATGAAGTTAAAGAAAATTTCTAGATTAGATCGTGGACAGGAACCAACTGACATAATTACAACCGGTCTTGATCTAGTTGAAGGCTTAGCTTACGACTGGATCGGTAAAAATATTTATTGGTTAGATAGTAAATTGAATACTATTGAAGTATCAACAGAAAATGGAACTGAAAGACTTGTACTTGTACGAGAAAATATTACACAGCCACGAGGCATGTGTTTAGATCCAACACCTGGACAAAAATGGCTTTTCTGGAGTGATTGGGGTGAAAATCCTCGTATTGAAAGAGTTGGAATGGATGGTACTTTGAGAGAAACAATCATCAGCAATAAAATCTACTGGCCTAATGGCTTGACTCTTGATATCGCCACAAAACGAGTTTACTTTGCTGATTCAAAATTAGACTTCATTGACTTTTGTTACTATAATGGAACCGGTCGTCAACAAGTTTTAGCAGGAAGTCATTACTTGCTGCATCCACACTCATTAACACTATTTGAAGATACACTTTATTGGACTGATCGTCAACTTAATAGAGTTTTATCGGCTCATAAATTTAAAGGAAATAATCAAACTGTCGTTTCACACTTGATTTCACAGCCACTTTCTATTCACGTTCACCATAAAGTTCTTCAACCAATGGGAGAGAATCCGTGTGATAGTGCTGAAAATAAATGTCAACATATTTGTCTATTGAGTCCTTCAGAAAAGAAGGGATATGTATGTAAATGTAAACCAGGCTATAAACTAATTGACGAATATAAATGCACAGAGGAAGAACAACCATATTTGATGGTTCTTAAAGGCAATCAGATCATAGATGTTCCACTTAGTAATGGAAATGCAAGAGCAGGCTCATTAACACCAGTTGTTGGTATTGATAATGGAATAAATCTTGAATATGACAGAAAAGGTGAACAAATATTTTGGCTCCAAGGCAAGGAAGACGATGAAGAGAATTGTACAATTTATGTAACGCCTTACGGGGGCGGAAATAAAACAGAGTTCCTGCCTGATTCTGGTATTGTTGGTGCTCCATATGCTATTGCTTTTGATTGGATTGGAAAAATTCTATTTATCGGAAATCGTATTGCTAGCAATATTGAAGCAGTTCGAGTCAATGGAAAAACGCGCTATCGTGCAATAATTTTAGCTAATAACGGAGAAAAAGAATCTGTAGCTAAACCTAAATCTCTCACACTTGATCCAACAGAAGGAAAAGTTTTCTGGGCAGATGATGGTGGATATGGCGTTCCTGCTAAAATTGCAAGAGTTAATATGGATGGAACAAATTCAGTTATTCTTATTGAGGTCGAGAATCCTGAAGCAATAACTGTTGATATTGACAAGAAATTTGTTTATTACAGCACAAGACATCCGCCAGGTATACATTCTATGCGTTATGATGGCACAGAAAGAAATGAAATATTAAGTGAACAAAATGATATTTCTTATCCAAAAGCACTTGGAATATTAGAATCAAGACTTTATTATTTAGATCCAACATATGAGAAAATTGTGCGTGTTGATCTTCCAAGTGGAGACAATGCTAAAGTCATTCTTGACAATGAAGGAGATTTGAAGAACATGATTGTTTTTAAAAAGCGCACAATGCAACAACATCCATGTATGACACAAAACGGTGGTTGTGAACACTTCTGTCTGCCGAGTGAAGGTGGATCAAGAACTTGTGCTTGTGGAATGGGATATAAGAAAGAAAATGAAATTACATGCACACCATATAAATCGTTTGCAGTTGTTTCACAATTAGACGTTGCTCGTGGTTATTCACTTAAAGATAGCACAGATGCAATAGTTCCAATTGCTGGTCCAGGTCATCATATTTTGCATGTTGATGTCGTTTTTAGAGAACAATGGATTTATTGGGTAGAATTTAATAGAGGACATTGGAATGGAATTTTCAGAGCTCGTCCAAATGGAAGTGACATTCAGCATATTATTAAAGATGGAATAGGAAGCAATGCTATCAGAGGATTAGCAATTGATTGGGTTGCTGGTAATTTGTATTTCACTAATGTTTTTCCACATGAAAATTACGTTGAAGTTTGTTGGCTCGATGGAAGCAACAGAAAAGTAATTGTCAAGACAACAACTGATGCACCACGAGAACTTGCAGTTAATCCAATTAAACGAATCTTGTACTGGATTGATTATGGACAATATCCTAGAATAGGAAAATCATATCTTGATGGCTCCAACTGGACACCAGTTGTTACAAGTGGAATATCAAATCCAAGAGATTTGACAGTTGATATGTTGACACATGATGTTTACTGGGTTGATTCAAAATTGGATATGATTCAAAAAATTTCATATACTGGTGGAAATCGTCAAGTAATTAGAAGAAATCTTCCAAATCCAATGGGCATCGCAATTCACGTTAACGATGTATATTGGGTCGATAGAAATCTTTTGACAGTATTCAAAGCATCTAAGTTCCCTGGAAACACAACAGTCCCAGAGAAGCTTAGAACTAATTTGCAAAAACTTCGTGATATTGTCATTTATGATCAATCTAATCAGCCAATGGATGACAATAATCCCTGCTTTAAACTTGGAAATGGTGGATGTGATCAGCTTTGCTTTAGTTTCCCTCCTGATGGAGCACTAGTTAGTGGACGTTTAAGCTTCAAATGTGACTGTGCAACAGGAAAATTAGCGTCAGATGGAAGACGATGTGATACTGAAAATGAGTATATCGTCTTTGCAACTCGTACTGAAATTCGTGCAATTGAACTAGATCCAAAATCAACAAATGTTCCTTTCAAACCAGTTGTAAATCTTACAAATGTTGTAGGACTTGATTTTGATTATGCTGATAATAAGTTGTTCTTTACACAAATAAGACCATGGTCAAAGATTGCATGGCTTAATGCTGACATTCCAGAATCAAGTAGTATTAACACCGTCATAAATCGTGGAATAAACCCTGAAGGAATTGCATATGATTGGACTCAAAAGAAAATTTATTGGACTGACAGTGCGAATGCTTCAATATTTGCAATGAATCTTGATGGATCTGATCTTATTATGATATCGCGTGTAGAACGTCCTCGAGCAATTGTGCTTGATCCTTGCAATGGAACACTCTATTATACAGATTGGGGTCGGTTTGGAACTACAGGAAAAATATTCCGTACAACAATGGCTGGATCATTGAAAAAAGCAATTATTGATAAAGACTTATCACAACCAAGTGGCTTAGCAATTGATTATGAAGAGAGAATGCTTTACTGGACAGATGCTGTTCGTGAGAAAATTGAAAGATCAACACTTGATGGAAAGAACAGAGAAATTCTTGTTACAGCTACAATTTATCCATTTGCAATATCAGTTTTTCGAAATTACATCTATTGGACTGATTTACAGTTGAGAGGTCTTTATAGAGCTGAAAAACATACTGGCGCAAATATGATTGAAATGGTAAAACGTTTAGAAGATTCTCCAAGAGACATTCATATTTACAGTAAATCACGACAAGTTTGCCAAGCAAATCCATGTAACCAAAATAATGGTGGTTGCGAACAGAGCTGTCATCCAGGATTGAATGGAAAGGCAGAATGTAAATGCGATGATTCGACAAAAGCTGTGAATGAAGGCAAAATGTGTGCACCAAAGAATCAAACTTGTGATGCTAGCAAATTCTACTGTAAGAATGGTAAATGCATTTCACGAATGTGGGCTTGTGTAAGTATTAATTGATCTACCTTTAAAATCTTAATCTAATAATTTTTTCATTAAAGGATGGCGATAATGATTGTGGAGATAACTCAGACGAAGATGTTAATTATTGTGCATTCCACTCATGTTCACCAAACGAATTCAGATGTAATAATGGTAGATGTATCTTCAAAACATGGAAATGTGATCATGAAAATGATTGTAAGGATGGATCAGATGAAATTAATTGCCAATACCCACCATGTGCTGATGGTGAATTTACATGTCTAAACGGTCGATGTATACCACAAGCACAAGTGTGCAATGGTGTAAATGATTGTAAAGATAATGCAACATCCGATGAAACTCACGAAAGATGTCCATCAAATCATACATGTCCAGCTAATCATCTTAAGTGCGAGAAAACAAATATTTGCGTTGAACCTTACTGGCTTTGTGATGGGTAAGATTCATGGTTAAAAAGCTTTAAAAAAATTGACTATGATTGTTTTTAGCGATAATGATTGTGGCGACAATTCGGACGAAGATGCTATTCATTGTGCTCAGAGGACATGCCCTCAAAACTCTTTCAGATGTCCAAATCATCGTTGTATACCAGCTACTTGGTAATTTAACAAAAATATCGCAATTATGAACTTAAATTAACTGATTCTTGCTTAAATTATAATAAAGGTACTGCGATGGAGATGATGATTGTGGTGATGGAGCTGATGAACCTCCAGAATATTGCAAATCTGAAGGAAGAACATGTTTCGGAGATCTTTTTACTTGCGATAATGGCAACTGTATTCCTCGTATTTATATATGTACGAAATTTATTCCTTAATCATTTTACACTTTATTAATATTGGAAATTATAAAATCTTACAGGTGACGGTGATAATGACTGTCTTGATAATAGTGATGAAGATAATCGACATCAATGTAATGACAGAAAATGTGATCCTGAGACAGAATTTACTTGTGAAGAAAATAAGCAATGGGGAAGATCTCAGTGCATTCCAAAGAAATGGCTTTGTGACGGAGACCCTGACTGTGTTGATGGTGCTGATGAAAATACAACAATTCACAGCTGTCCAACACCACAACCGTGTGCTGATGACCAATTTACATGTAGCAATGGAAGATGTATAAATAATGGATGGATTTGTGATCATGACAATGATTGTGGAGATGGATCTGATGAAGGCAAATTCTGTAATTCTCAATACAAGACTTGCTCAACTCAAGAATTTACATGTCAAAACTTCAAATGTATTAGAAATCAATATCGATGCGGTAAGATAATTTAATGCAAATTCCCTAATAATTTCATATCAATTTAAAAATTGTTTCATAGATGGAGAAGATGATTGTGGTGATAGATCTGACGAAGTAGACTGTAAAAAAGATAACACAACATGCGCAACTGGACAATTCCAATGTAATAATGGACAATGCATTGATTACACTCTCGTGTGTAACAAAGTATCAGACTGTTCAGATGACTCAGACGAACCACTGCATTGCAATGTTGATGAATGTGCGAAAGTAGAAATTAATCAATGTGGACATAAATGTGTTGATACTTTAACAAGCTACTATTGTGATTGTAATCAAGGCTATAAGCTTCTTGCTGATGGTAAAGCTTGTGCTGACATTGATGAATGTCTTGAAACGCCAGGTGTTTGCTCACAACACTGTTCAAACACACCCGGTAGCCATTATTGTAAGTGTGATGAAAGGTATTATGAGCGTCAAAATGACGAACATACATGCAAAAGAAAAGATAAAGAAACACCATGGATTATTTTCACAAACAAATACTACGTGCGTAACATTTCTACTGATGGATCAATTTATAATGTAGTACATCAAGATTTAATGAATGTTGTGGCAATTGATTTCGATTACAAAGACCAGAAAATGTATTTCTGCGATGTGACAGCAAAAACTATTTTTAGATCAGATTATGGTGGTGATGGTGATACTAAAGTAACCAAAGAACCTGTAATTAAGCACGATTCTCATGGTTTGGAAGGCTTAGCTATTGATTGGGTTGGAAGAAAACTTTATTGGCTTGACCGACATTCAAAGAATCTCGATGTCTCAGAATTAGATGGAACAAACAGAAAGACGTTAAAGAGTGGAGTTGTTGATCCTCGAGCAGTTGTTGTACATCCTGGAATTGGATATTTATATTTCTCATCATGGCATTTGCAAGCTTACATTGCAAAAATGGGAATGGATGGTTCAAACTTTAGTAGAATTTTAACATGGGAACAAGATATTGCTTGGCCCAATGCTCTTACCATCGATTATTTTACAGACAGAATTTATTGGGCTGATGCTCATTTGGACTATATTGCATTTACGGATCTTGAAGGACACAATCGTCACATTGTTTTATCTGGTGCTAAAGTTCCTCATGTATTTGCCTTATCTGTTTTCGATGATTTTGTCTACTGGACAGATTGGAATCTTAAAGCAATTATGAGAGCGAATAAATTTAATGGAAAGGATTTACAAACTTTACGAAATACAACGCATCGCCCATACGATATACATATCAATCATCGATTACGACAAGTTCCATACACAAATCCTTGTGGTGAAAATAATGGAGGATGTACTCACTTGTGTCTATTATCACCTCCACTTGAATCATCTTATTTAAATATTGAAGGATATATTGAAGAAGGAACACCAGGTTACAAATGTGCCTGTCCAAATCAATTCTACTTATCTCGTGATGGAAAAACATGTATTGCTAACTGTACAGCTGGACAACATCGATGTGGAGGAAATGATGAAAAATGTATCCCATGGTTCTGGAAATGTAAGTGACTCTTTCAAAATACCTTAAACATTTTTTTTAACTTTTCAATTATTTTAAGGTGATGGCGAGCCTGATTGTAAAGATAAATCAGATGAACCTTCAACATGCCCACAACGTCATTGCCGAGCAGGAACATTCCAGTGTAAAAATAACAACTGCACACCTTCAGCTACCATTTGTGGTAAGTTTTTGTTATAATTTTTTTTTAAAATCTTTAGCTCATTATTTTGTTAATTTTAGATGGAAACGATGACTGTGGAGACAATAGCGATGAACAAAATTGTGATTTGCCATGTCCTGATTCTGACTTCAAGTGTAAATCTAGTGGAAGATGTATTTTGGACAGCTGGAGATGCGATGGTAAGTTATAATAACATCTTTTTTAAAGAGTATGTATTTTAATACTTATGTGAAAAATTCAGGTGATGCCGATTGCAAAGATGGAAGTGATGAAGATCCTGCAGTATGTCGTAAGTTTCAACTCATTAATTATTTCTTTAAAGATTGAATAATTTCGAAATAATTTTAATCTAGATAAACGCACATGTGATCCCGACACAGAATTCAATTGTAAGAATGGCAGATGTATTCCAAAGTTATGGATGTGCGATTTTGATAACGATTGTGGAGATGATTCGGATGAACCTGCATATATGTGTCGTCAAAGAAATTGTACAACAGGATGGAAGAGATGTCCAGGACAATCAAATTACCGTTGCATTCCAAAATGGCTCTTCTGTGATGGAAAGGATGACTGTAGAGACAACAGTGATGAATTGCCAGAAAACTGTCCAGTTTGCAATACTGAGACAGACTTTAAGTGCAAGAATAATCGTTGCATTCCTAAGCAATGGACTTGCGGTAAGATTAGTTTTAAAGATATTATTAAATCAGTGCTTATTTTCAATATGTTTTAAAACAGATTTTGCTGACGATTGTGGAGATGGATCCGATGAAACAGAAGCTCTTTGTAAAGGCAAATACCGAGAATGTTCAGAATCTGAATTCCGTTGTGAAAATGGCAAATGTATTTCATCTCGTTGGAGATGTGGTAAGTTTTAAAATAAATTCTAACATCTTCAGATTTCTAAAATACCATTTAAAATTTTCAGACCATGAGGATGATTGTGGAGATGGATCTGATGAGTTACACTGTGAAAACTTCCAATGCAAAAATGGAACATTCCAATGTAAATCTGGCCATTGCATTGCTGCATACTTCAGATGTGACGGAGATCGTGATTGTAGAGATATGTCAGATGAAATTGGATGTCCACCAAAATATCCAGGAGGTCGATACTGTCCAGAAACTCGATTCCAATGTAACAACAATTTCTGTGTATTTAATACTGATGTATGTGACGGTTCAGATGATTGTGGAGATAATAGCGATGAAGCACCTTCCGTATGTTCTACATTAACATGTGATGCAACAAGAAAATTCCAATGTGATAATAAGAGATGTATTCCAAAGTTCCAAATTTGGTAAGCAAATTCTTTTGTTTTTATTATCGACGTTTCTAAACTTCCTATTCCTGTAGCGACGGAATTGACAATTGTGGTGATGGATCTGATGAAAACAATCATACACTATGTGGTGCTAAAATCAAACCTTGTGATCCTCAAACTCAATACACTTGTGCAAATAAAAAATGTGTTGAACGGAACCAAGTTTGGTAAGGATTGATTTATAATAATTGTGACTGTTTCTCTAATAAATTATATATTCAAAAATAAACAGTGATCATAGCGATGATTGTGGTGATTTGTCAGACGAATTGGGATGTCATTTCACTAGCACATGCTCAGAAGTGACCCTTGGAGGATGTGAACAATCTTGTACTAATATTACAAATGGAGGATACATTTGTAGCTGTTATCATGGATACATAATTGATGCAACAAACAAGAAGAAATGTTTAGATGTTGATGAATGTGCAACAGGAACAAGCATGTGTTCACAAACTTGTTCAAACTTAAATGGAACATACACATGTGCTTGTGCTAATGGATTCAAACTTGTGGAAGGAACAACTGGTATATGTAAAGCCGACAAGGAAGAAACGTCTGTAATTTTCACAACAGGAACAAACATTAGAGCATTTAACTTGAAAGAAAACAAAGAGTTTGAAGTTATTGCTTCTGAAAAACGAATTGAATCAATTGATTATGATCCGATTAAACAAATGGTATTCTGGGCTGATAGCAGCGATCGTACAATCAAACGTTCTTACATGGTAAATGCTAGAGATGGAGAAGCTAAAATCGGATTTGCTCAAGATTTGAACATGAAAGGAAATTCAAAACCAACTGCAGTTGCTGTCGATTGGATTGCAGAAAATCTTTATTGGACAGAAACAGATCGAACAGGAAGTAAACCTCGAGGTCGAATTATGGTCGCAAAGACCGATGGACGTTATAGAAGAGCTCTTGTGAATAATGGACTCGAAATTCCAACATCAATTGCTGTTGATCCACAATTAGGAAGATTATATTGGTCAGACGCTGGTTCTGCACCGAAAATTGAAGTATCTTGGATGGATGGTGGAAGAAGAAAACCATTGATTGTTGATGGAATTCGACATCCAGCTGGCGTTGTGGTAGATTATGATCAAGAACATAGAATCTATTGGGTGGATACGAAATTGAATACCATTGAATCAGTTAAAGCTGACGGAACAATGAGAAAGGTTGTAATTCGTGGCGATCAGCTTAAACATCCGATATCACTTGATGTATTTGAATCAAGTCTGTACTGGGTATCGCGTGATACAGGAGATCTTATTAAACAAGACAAATTTGGAAGAGGTGTTCAAGTTGTCATTCAACGTGACATTGCTAATCCTGCTGGTGTTAAAATTTATCATGAAAATCGTTACAATACATCACTTAAAAATCCATGCTTTAAAAGTACCTGCTCACATCTTTGTTTGTTAGTACCTGGTGGATGGCGTTGTGCTTGTCCAGATAACTCAGTTCAACCACAAAATCATAGAAGCACAGCTGAAGTAATTTGTGATGCTGGTATGTAAACCATCAAAGTTTAAAAATGTTAAAGACTTAAAAATATTTTTTTGTGTCAATTACAGTTGCCGAAAGAGAAAGACCTTTACCACTTATTTGTAAATGCCAGAATGGTGGATTCTGTAAAGAAGAAAATGGAGATGTCGGTTGTGACTGTCCAACAGATTTTAGTGGTAAAAATTGTGAAAAATATCAAGGTGTGCTGCATTCAGCTGGAGGAAATGCAACCGCAGCTGTATTTATACCAATCTTAATTTTATTACTAATGGGAGCTGCAGTTGGGTCATGGTATATCATTAAGAAGAGACCATTGTAAGTTAATCAAAATAAGTCAATATAGTTCATATTTTAATCTGATATTATTTTATCAGTGGAAAAGCTACATTAGGTTTATCATCATCACAAAGTGTTTCATTTAGACACGGAACGAATGTAGAGTTTAATTCACCTGGCTTTTCACCAGGCAATCCAACATCGCCATCCTTACCGACAGATCAAATTCCACCAATGGATTCGTACAATCTCGAAACACTTAATAAAAAGAGTCGAGACTTTTCTAATCCAATGTATGATGCTGTTCAATCAGATTCGCATATGAGTAAGTCTTATTGGAAATTTTAATCTTTTTATAAAATTAATGGATATTAATTTTCAGCACGAATATATGACGTACCAGCCGATGCAAAAGAGCCCAGTTCAACTGTAGAACCATCTTCAGCAGTTATTGCTCCTAGTAGTATAGTACATCGAACATCACCTCAACTTCAAATAAGACGTCCACGTGAGCTTGATCCTACGCATGTAGATACAGGCAAAGATACACAAGCTTTGGTTGAAGAAGACAAATCCGAATGCTGATAAATAAAGCAAATCAGTGCATTGTTAGATATTACAAAAAAAAAAAATCAGTTTAGAACGGAATCAAATCTAATCAAAATGGAAACATTTTTCGTTATATTTCTTTACCAGCTACTGTCCTAACTTATTATTATATTTTTTTTTATATTTCTTTGAGCTAAGCTCTTAAAAAAGCAATTTTTATCAATTGAATGTGTAATGTTGAATGTTTTTGAAAAAAAAAATTGTTATTTTTATATATATTATTATTTAATACATCCTTTATTTATGTACATGATGAGTTGTATGAGTCTCCTATTTTTTTTCTCTCTCACACAAGGTGCATGAATGAAGCAATCAAGCAATCAAAAGCATATCTATAGACATCTCTTTACTAAAACATAATATTGCAAGAAAAGTTATAAAAATTTTCATAAGACGATTATTAGAAACGACTGAAAAATTATAGTATTTTTATGTAAATGTTATAAGTCCAAATTTTCAATGATGCAGTTACTATATGTTATTGAGCATTACAAATATCCTTGAATTTATGCCTTAAACATGAACCGAAAGAGCATTTTCTCTATCTTCAAAAATATATATTTAAAGTAACTTAAATCTCGTAAACTTGGGTAAAGTCGGTAAAGTATTAAAAGTTGACTAAAACATATTTTTTATCTCCTACAAAATTATAAAATATCATTAGTGCCTTTCTTTATTGAAAAGTGATGTCGACTAGCAAACAGAAAATTGAAGTTGGTTTTAAGCTAGCTTAAAGCAAGGCTGGATTATCGAAGTTTGCTTTTCTGGTACAGGGTACTTTACATCACTAGATACTAAAATCTTTATCTTTAATAAAATTAAATTAGAGTAAGAATGTCCACCAAAGTCGAGAAAATGCTCAAAGTAATAAAAAACTTGTGGATAATAATAATAATCAAACCTTTTATAAACCTTGTATATCTTCTGCATCATAGTACTTATTACGCATTTGAAAGATGAAGAAAATGAAACATTCCTTGTAATAGCTTCCGTTTTATATCTTTACTTGATAGGTTGTTAAAAATGTTTAAGTTAAAATTCTACATTTTCTGACTAAGAATGAAGGAAGGAGGAATAAAAATGATGAAAAATACGATAATTTGATGGCTTTTTAATCATTTTTAATTTAATTAAATATAATGACAATTTAATTTCCACAGAAAGTTTATATATAAGCTTGATTATCACTTCCGTGAAGCTTTACAGTACATAAAGTGTTGAAACAAAAATGAAAATTTACACAGTTTTAGTGCTGACCTTATTTTTAAAAACATACTCTGCAGATATTTTATCATGTGGAAGTTCACTTGGATATTCGATTCCAACCATGTGCCGAATATCAGGTGGATCAGTTGCTGATGGAGAATCTCTTCAAATTTCAAATGCAAATGCAAATATTACAACCTTGTCATTTTCCAATACAGAATTTACATCAATTCCAGCAGATACTTTTGTAAAGTTTCAAAATATTAAAGTTTTTTATGTGACAAACAATAATTTAAAAAGCTTTTATGGTTCCAGTTTTCAAAACGCAAAACAGCTTACGCAAATGTCTTTATTTACTAATCAAATTACAGCAATACCAAATCAAGCATTTTCATTATGCTCGTCATTAAATAAACTATCAATCTATAACAATCCGATCATAGATCTAAGTGAGAGTCCTTTTGCAGGTCTTACACAATTACAAGAACTGTCACTTGAAGACCTTCCGCTCGAATCGTTTGATTCCTCTATCTTTGTGCATCTTCCTGCTTTAGAAAAGCTTGATATTACAAACTGCAGTCTTAGAGTTATCGATAAAGACTTTTTGGACAGCAACTTAAATATAACGGAAATAAAATTGTACGATAATGATATAGTGACAATTGAAGATGGTGCCTTTTCTACTTTAGTATCACTGAATTATTTGGATGTAAGTTACAACTTGTTGACTTCATTGAAAACAGTTTAAGCAAAGACCATTATTGCTGATAATAACAAATTGGAAAGCATCTTTATACAATCGAATGCTGTAAGTGTTAATATTGAGTACAATCTCATCACCAATCTGTCATGCGAAATAAACCCAAACCTAAGATATCTTTATGCAACAGGGAACCGAATATCAAAAATTGGTTTTTTAAGAAAATGACAAATGCACAAACAATCTTTCTGGACTCGAACCGGATTGGGAAAATTAATAAAGCTGTTTTTGCAAACCTCAAAAATGTATCAAATATTGAACTCAATGACAATCCGAAAATGAAATTAGGAAGTAAAATGATTGCATCAATGAGTAATGTAAGGACGATTAAAGTTGATAAATTCATTAATGGATATAAGAACTTATCACAAATGTTTCCGAAGCTTAGTATGCTTTATTTGACAACAAGGAATTGGACTTGCACACAACTTAAAAATGTAGCGAATATTCTTAATTCACAAAAAATATATTTATTCTTCAATAACGCCACTCTAGACAAAGCAAATTTTAAATGTCAATTGAATACTTGGGATGTGAGTCATTTTAATTCAACAGAATAAACTTTTTTTTTGATATTTTTTTTTTTATTAAAATATTCTGTAAAATCTTTATAAAAATTATATTGTATGGATCAAATATTTATAATACTAGGCACTCGGTTACTTTTATGAATCAAAAATTTATGCCATCACAATTTCAGGATTAGGAAATATATCTTGCCCATGAATGCTGTTCATTATGGATGTATACCATATTACTTGGTCGTTAATGTTATTTCCTCCTATTATATGGCCGATAAACGGCGAATCTCTACTCCTACAAAAAAGTAAGAAAACCTTAGTTTTATTAAATCAATAATCAATAAAGTCATTTACCTTTTATTGAAATTCAATTCGACTAAGGTTAATGTCCAACGACATTGATTATCACGTTTTTTCTCAGCACCTAAATACGTAATACAATTAGAAACGTCTACATCTTTTACTTTTACTTTCGATGACTTTTCTGTTTTCAATACATTTATCATTGTATCTGTAAGCTCTAAAGTGAATAATTTCATTGATTTGGTTTTCTTGTCGGCAAATTTTAGCTCCGTGCATGGTGTCAATGATGGCAGTGTTTTCAAAGCGCGCTCAAGTTGTTGATGAAATTTATTTTGTGGCCTTAATTCGAGATAATTTGTTTTCCTGTCGGCCTCAGGCCAATTAGCCCATCGTAGTACAACATTGAGTACTTTCTCATTGTAATGTAGAGGCCGCTGAAGTTCACCATTGAGTATTACCTCCATTAATGTCATTTTATATGCTGGAATATTCATGTTTGATTCTAATTCTTTACAGAGTTCAAATACTGTTTTCGTTGGTGTAAGTGCTACATTGATTTGCTTTTTGTCTTCTTGGATAGTGTTTTGATCTGGATTTGGATCGAGAGTTATCCAAACTAATGGAAAGAAATCAACATTAAAGGTAAGATATAAATAAAAAAATGAATGCATACCTTTAAAGTCACCAGATTTTTTTACCGCATCAGAGAGATTTTCAGCAGCATTATGGTATTTTTGAAGTACGGTTAACATGATTTGTTCAGTTTTCTAAAAAAATTACAATTTCAATAATACCTAAATCTCTTTTGATTGGAACAATAGCATGTAAAAATCAAATGAAAGTATGACTTACAATTTCATCTGCTGTTAATTCGTACAACTTCTTGTAGTTGGTAATAAGTTCAGCTACAACTTCTGAATCTCGAGTATCTATTGTATATTGATTTTCATTATTTTGAGGCTGCATTAATGTTGGTCCAAATACAAGCGCAAGATTTTCTGATTTCATTTTATTAACATCCTTCTGAGTCTGTATGAAGTGAAGATGACCTAAAAGTTTCTTGAGTGTTTGGTACTCAACAGACGGTAATCTTAAAAGCAGTTCTTTATATGCGTGAAGCTTATCAGATTGAGATTTCATTTCAGAGACACTTAAAAAGCTGACTGCTAATTTCCCCATTAATGGTTCCGGTAGTTCTCTAAAGAATCTCTTTAAAGCTGATGACACATCATGCTCATTATATTCGCAACGAGTAATCTGTACATTAAATGCATCTTTCCTTAAAGCAGCACTCAATTTTTGAATATTAGAACTGCTACCCGCCTTTCGATAGATTCCCTCAGACATTGTACCTTTTAACAAAAGTAAAATTATAAATTAGGTATATTATTTTTTATGGCTCTAAGCTTCTTACCATTTGTGTATACAAAATTTATACATTTATCAACAAACACTGGAACATTATCTTTTGTCAATTGTTGATGCCTCAACTGTGTTCCGTTGGCATGTGCTTCATCTTTTATAACTACACTCCAAATTTTTGTCTCTCTTGTAGTATTCATAATGAAATAGCAAGTAAATGGCGGAGCATCAATCAACATTATTGGACCTTTCTCAACATACAGATTTTGTATGCTATCATCGCTATCTTTTAAACCGATACATCGTGCTTTTCTTAAATCAAGTATCTCGAGGCGATTCTCTGTATAGTCATAGAACAAAAGTCTACGTCGCGATAATAAAATCCATGTACCCGACCATGCAGATGTAATAGATTTCTGTAAATATCAAAAAAGACATATTGTGTTGACTTACGCTATTATTTACCCAAAAAAATATCATTATTCATTGCTTACCCTCATATAACACCATCCACTTCTAATGTAATCACTAGTATATTCTTTTGGAAAGACATTCGTGACACCCCTCAGAATTTTTTGCATCCATATACATCTGAAAAGATTTTTTTGAAGGAATGAGTACGGAGAACAATACACAATGATGAAAGAATATGATTTATTTACTTTTCCTGTTTGCTGTGAATGCCATAAACATAAGTAACACGTTGTGTACGAACAGGACTGCCTTTGCTATCTAACAAAGCATTGTTGTTGCTTCCAGTGTTCTTCGGTATGGCAAGATTTATTTCGAAACAGTAAATTTGACGGCCACATTCAGTCTTGAAGTCATTAAACTTATGATTTATGAGATAGTGGACACTTGTTAAATGCGTTAGGTCAAGATGTTCCTTAAGTACTTTGAATTCGGGTTCTGCAAATGCTTTGAACTGGCGCTTTTTAAGCTCAATAAATCTTGGATTTAATTCTTTCAACATATCTTCAATGACGCCGCTGGGTAATTTAAAGAGAATTATACCCTTGTCATGAGAACTATGTGTATCATCACTAAATGGGGGATGTGGTATAAAATCCTTTGGGTCGACTTTTTCAGTCTTATCCTTTGAGTTTAGCTTTGACATTAGATTGAAATTAAATATCGTACTTTTTGATTTTGTCACCGGAATTGTTGGGGTCTTATCTAATTCATCATTTTGAATGACAATTTGATCCTTTTGGGATTCTTCATAGCTTGGTAGATATGGAGTTTCTGTATTTAACGACAGATTATTGACCTTCGGCAGTTGTGGTACGGTTTTTGATACTTTATTTGTGCTTGTTGCATTCGTAAAATTATTTGGATTGTCCAAATTATTTTTTGAAAATTTCTCAGAATCTTCTGTATCGACAAACCAATTTGTTCTCGTTGTTTTAGGCTTACTTAAATCAGCAATCACTTCAGATGTTGATGCTTCATTGTCTACCTTAGCTAAATATGGTTCAGCTAAATTTTCAATACTATCTTTTAATCTAAGATTTTGATGAATAATAACAGATTGTTGTCGTTGTGCTTCCTTTTTCCGTTTTGGCCGTGGAGGTGATGGATGTTCATTAATACTTTTATTTGAGATATTAATTTCACTTTGAGATAATGAGCTTAAGTTTTCATTTGTTTGATTTGAATCTTCACTTGATGCTTCATCAACTTGCTCTGCATCGAGAAGTGATTGACTGTCAGCTACAGTTCCATAAGTGTCTTCACTCAACAATGTCTCCAAAAGTGTTATGTGATTCATACTTCTCATGATATATGTGTCAAAACTGTCGCGAGATAATGGATCAAATTCATTTAATATTTCTCGTGTGATTGTTGGTGTTTTACTATTTGAACCGTCTATATTCAAAATTTTTAATGGCTGTAAAACGTTTGATGAACAAGTAGGGGATTCCAAATTACCCATTCTCTCATTTTCATCATTTGCATAAATAGGTTCTTCTGATTCATTTGAATCTAGAGTAGCCTGAGATATGTTATCATTTGAAACATATCGCCATGATTCACTTCTGTCAATTCCCCGAGCATTACGATTAATAGTATTTTCTCTAGAATCAGCTACGTCTGTGAGTGTGCAGCTTTCAGAAACTGTACTACACATTGTTACTCGATTTGAATCGTCTGAAATATTATTGTTATTTTGCTGCTCATTTATGTTTCTCCTTAGGACTGGTGGAGGTGGTGGCTTCCTTAACGGAATCATAGGAGCATTTTCATAATAAGTCGGAGCTGGTTTCAATTTTCCATAAACAGATTCTCCTGGTAACTTCGGGACAGGAATATTTGGAGGTAGACTTTCATGGTCATCTAATTCTGACGAGTCACTACTTATAGTGTTTAAGTTTGAATCACTGATGTTGCTGCGTTTTTTATTGAAATTATTCTGAACTCCATGAAGGCTCTGTGTCATTTTTGTATTTCGTTTCAAATTCCCATCATCGTAAATTATATCTTCATAAGTCGGTAAATCCTCATGGGATTTATATTTAAATCCTTTTGGAATCTCATATGTCGATATCTGTGATGGGATATTTTCTAAATTATAAGATCGTTGATTATTAATAGGGCTGTTAAATGATAAGGTTTCAAACATGTCATCGTTTGCAATATTTATGGTTTGAGGCCTTTCATCAGCATCAATCGAAAGACTTCTTCTAGCTTTGTTTCGTTTTAATGAAAAATTGTCAAACTTCTCTTTGACTTTTGTGAGCTTTTTGGCAGTACTTGTTTTTGTGTCACTTGCCAATGATCCAAGAATATTTTTTGAATTTTTATATTCTTTGATTATTTTGTGCTTAGCACTCGCAGTTTTATCACCTATACGCTCAGTAATGGCTTCGCCTAAAATTTTTGATGACGATCCAATAGACTTTAATATATCACTGAAAAAAGTAAAATGTGCTAATTAAGACGAACGGTGAAATACTTTATACAAATACTTACGTTGGACTGGGTGTTACAAATTTTTCGCTATTGGACTTTCCACTTGTTGATGATGACAATGAAAGAACATCGTCTGTTTCTTTTTTCCTCTCTTCTAAATCAGACTTTTCGGTTGTCTCCTTTATATTATTCTCTACTTTTGGAATGTTAATAGCTTTTCTAATTGCTCCAGTTTTGCTTGGCAATTCCGGTTGATTATTGTTTAATGGAGAATTCTCATAATTTCTAGTATTTAATTTTGTTCTTGGCGATGGTAATGGCTTTTGCATTTCCAATTTCATTTCATTTAATTGAGCATTAACCGCATCGTAAAAGCTTGCTGAACTCTTTGGTCTAATTGTAAAATTCTCGTAAACTTTAGACGATGAATCAATTTCATCTGATGTCGTTTTCAATTGTCTTGGGCGTGGAACGGGAATGGGTCGATTTTCATTGTTCATCTTCAATTACTAATAATATCTTATTCCGGTATACATGTGAAAAAACTCTACATTATGTTAAAAAAATAAACATCATAAATATAAAACAATACACATAATTTATAATAAATGCGTGATGATGAAGTAAGTTTAAGAGTTATTGGCTATTGCTAATGTTTTTGGAGCGAATTTATTTTCGATTTAGCGAGCAGTATAGCGCCAACCGATTTATGCATTAGGAACCTATGCTATCGGTCAAAATGTGAACAGCACTTAAACACACATGTCGATTTGGAATTTACATGAATATGATTTATAAACTCATGTTGAATTCTAGATAGAATCAAATTAACAAGAGACAGTAACATTTTTATAGATACTTGTGTAGTGTTGTTCAACCGTGAAATTTCATTTAAGTCGTGTGCATGCTGAAAACATAAATGATCGTTTTGTTTGATATGAGTAGTCAAGAGCCATATTGATAAAAGTTTAATGATCTTTACTATAAATTGTAAGCTAATATCTTAAATGAATGAATTTATTTATAAATTAAGAAATACGAGCAGTGTTTGTAAACACAGCTCAGCCTACAAATATATTATAGAGAACATTATTCATTGTACAATGAATCATGATTTAAGCACTTCCTTAGGCATGTTTATTAATAAGATACCAGATACTTTCGGAAACGAATGAAAGTCGTCGTATTAAATGATCTATTATTATTTTTATTCTTCTTGTTCATATCACGAAATAATGAATTATCACATTGAATAATGTGTTTACTACATGCTTATTGTATTTATCGTACTGCGTTGATTCCATAATATCTGTGTTTTCTTTGTGTTATTTTTTTCAAATAATATTTGAATGTGCAAAATGGAAATGTATAAAGATTTATAAATAAAAAAAAGTCTAATTTGCATTTTCTCCTTTACACTTTTTGACATAAAACTTTAAAACCTATAAATGCGATATACTGGATTCTCAAATGACAGAAAAATGCAAATAGTACATTTAAAGTCTATGCAAAAAATCAAAATGCTCATGAATCATATATAAATTATCTGTGAACATAATATAAGAGAATTTTGTTTAAAAATTAATCTAATATTATTCACATTCCCGAACATACAAAGAGCATGCTCAGAAAAGTGAGCATATAAGTGAGTCTACTCAAAAATTATACTCATGCAAGCTCATTCAACTGAGCATGCTCAGGAGTTCATTACGAATGTACTCACTTTATTTTTTTACAAAAACTTTATAAGCTCACGTGAGTGCATTCAATAAGTATATTCTTGAGAATATTAAGAACATACTCATGTGAATTCACTCATATGAGTTCACTTACTGAATATACTCATGAGAATATTAAGAACATACTCACTTCTGTGTGACATAATTTTTTTATATTCTCATATGAGTGCACTTACTGAATGTACTCATGAGCTTATAATGAGCAAACTCACTTCTGTGTCACACAATTTTTTTTATATTCTCATATGAGTGCACTTACTGAATGTACTCATGAGCTTATAAAGAGCAAACTCACTTCTGTGTCACACAATTTTTTTTATATTCTCATATGAGTGCACTTACTGAATGTACTCATGAGCATATAATGAGCAAACTCACTTCTGTGTCACACAATTTTTTTTATATTCTCATATGAGTGCACTTACTGAGTTTATTCAAGAGCAAATTGTGTACCTTTTTTGAAAAAATGTCAGCTAAATCGAAAACGTTAAAATAATGATTTTTTAAGGAAGCTGACGTTTTTTAAAAATGTCAGCAAAATCGAAAACGTTAAAATAATGATTTTTAAGGAAGCTGACGTTTTTTAAAAATGTCAGCAAAATCGAAAACGTTAAAATAATGATTTTTTAAAATTGGTGCTCAATAAGATCCAAACTTCAAAGAACTTAGTTCAAAATTAAAATTTAAAAATTATTATTTATTTGTCGACGTTACCGTCCGGAAGAATTAGTATTTATACATGTTTTACTTTTTACATGTGTTATGCCATATATAAATTATTATATATTTACAGACAATAGCTCCAAGGAAAAGTGTGAGATGACAGAAGTTAAGCAACGCAGAAGATATTTCAACAAGGATGGGTGACCAGATTTATATGTTTCATTCTTAGTATTTCAGATAAAATATTAATAATAATTTCTAACTCCTTCAAAATTATTCACAGAAATAAACGAAACAGTACTTAATTTCAGCTAACCTATAATACTCAAATTTAGCTTAATTAATTTTTTGAATTTTGCAACTTCACTTGAGTGAACTCATGAGTGTGCTCAGATGAGCATATACTCATAAATATACTCACTAAGTATATATTCTTTGAGTACGTTTATGAGTATGTACTCTTTGAGAATATTTATAAGTATGTACTTTTTGAGAATGTTCATGAGTATATTCAATAAAAATGTTACATGAGAAGAATGTTGCATGTGACATGTTGCCTTCTCATTTGAGTATGCTCATGAGTTTACTCAATGAGCTTAATACATGTCACATAGGAATGTGCTCACTGAGCATGCTCAAGAAGGTACCGTAAGCGCATCACTGAAATGTATGAAAATGAGCACATTCTCACAAAGGCTAATAGGCTCACAAATAATGTGCTCTGAGCATGCTCATTGTATGTTCGGGATTCTTAATTTTGGAAATTGACACATATTGAATTATATATAGAGCAAGTAAGTCACATGAAAAGCGGCAAAAATGATAATTTATGATTTTGCAACAAAAAAAGTGGTTTTTGATAATTGACGATACAATAAACTTTAATGTTATCAATCAAAAATTGTTTTAATGTATTGGTTATAGAAGTATTGTTTCACACATCTCTTTCATTTCTAGTCATTCATGCAAATGACTCATCGTTCATCGTTGTATTTGAACTACCGAGTTTATGTTTCATTAAAATTTAAATTCTTTTTTATTATTTAACAATTTACTTTAAACCAGATGCTGTAGTGTTAATTAGCTCTATTCACTTAACAAGGCTTTTCGTATGTAATGTAAATTTCTTTTTATTAGTTCACTAAAATTTGTTATATCACAAAATGAAAATAATGACACTTTTAAATGCTTTATTGCATAATATTTCGATATATTTATATTTTGTTGTATCCAATAAACGAAAATAAGACATTTAATTGCACTTGAAATTCATTAAAATAGATAAAATTGCTTAAATTTATTAATTTTTGAAGACAAAAAACTTTCTTGTTTTTCACTTGTTGAACGTTCCTACTAAAATGAGCAATAAACCTGAAATAAACTCAAATAATCTCCATTCAATCGAGTCTAAGAGAATAAACAGAGAGAGAGAGAATCAGTTTGTTTATTTCCGTATCGATAAAGCAGACTGAGAGACAGCATTAATGCAAATGAATTTATTTTTACTTGGATTCCTTCATAGAGCTTGTCATTAGCTCAAGTAATAACGGCATATTTTTGCTAAAGCCTTGAGAATTCTTGAATTTTGTTCTCATTTTCTTCCTGCTCATTTTCAATTTGGTTCCAGATTCAGTAACAAACATGTCACTTGAATATTTAAAGCTCATCCATTTGAAATAATCGAGAATCAAAAGATTCAACATATCAGTTGGGGAGCAGGGACCAGTTATTATTTCTTCATCCATTGGATCCTTACATTCATCACCGCGTACAACGTCTAGAATATTTTTTCGAATATCTCCTTCAACACTACGAAATACATTGTTCTTCAACAGCTCTTTCTTTACAGCTTTAAAAACTTTCTTATCAATGCCTTCTCCAATATTATTCTTCATCCTCCTTTATCCTAGACTTTTTATTGAAATTGTAATGTAAATTTTTAATGTCTCTAAATCCAGTTTGACGAAATATTCGTTGAAATGAAAATTGATCAAATTTTACGTTTTAAATTTTAAACACACAACAATAGTAGCTATGATTTGCTTGAATATAATAAACTGGAAATTTTTAAATGTTTATGTTGAAAATAAAATAAACATTTTCAATATGAAGGAATCCTTTTAAAATCAAATTTAAAATTTAAATTACAGTACAAGTACTGTTTAAGGATGCTTTTCCTTAAAAGAAAAAAAAAGTGAAAAAAACTCACATATTCAAAATATGTTTATGCCTTTAAGAGAGATCATGATGATATCAAGCAACATATTGTCTAATAATTGGAAGGATATAAAGAAAAGAATACAATGTGCAGTGAAAAGTAATTGAAAGAATGGATGAACCATTTATTACACATTTAAACATTGTCAGAATCACTTTGGGGCCGTTCACTTATTACGCAAAAAAACCTTTTTCGACCCCCCCCCCCTTTTTACAATATATTAAAACGCACAACCCCCCCCCTGAACATGTTTTTGGTGTGAATTTGTAAAAAAAATTTAAGTGAACTTTTTTTTAAAAGACAGACGACAGTTAAAACGTTACATACTTGACACCCCCCCCCCCTCCCTATGTTACATTTTGTTACAATTTTTCAAGCCCCCCCCCCCCCCTCCCCCCTAAAATGCGAACGTAATAAGTGAACGGCCCCTTTGCTATTACTCAGTAACTGATACAAGGATTCACTTTATTATTGCTTTAATACGTCGTAGTATTTTTTGTCAAAAAGGATAGATTAAATATTAGCAGTTTATTAAACTCCCGGAGATTTTTGTTTCTTGAGCAAAAACTCAAAGTTTCGGATTGCTTAACTTATTTTTAGGTTGTTTGCTTAAACTTTCAATATGAGTTTTAATATTCCAGGAATCAATTAATTGCAAAAAAATGTAGACTAAATCTGTTTAACAAACGATCTGTCGAAATTGGAAATATACAAATATTGACAAGCGCAAATATTGGCAAGCGTGAATCTAGCTGAATTTATTCCAGCTTTTTGTATATAATGCTGATGTTTTATAGTTGTTGGAGATGATTCTCGATTAAGTGGAAAATATATTAAATTTCAGAGCTAGACATGTAAGTTTTTAATTTCCTGCAAATGAACCAATTTCAGGATGTAAATTATTAATGTTAAATTTTGTGGTAAAAAAAAAGGAATTAATAAAAGAAATAATAATGAAGCAATTTTCATCAGTATCTTTTATTATACAAATCGTCAAAAATGAGGGAGTAAATATGAGATAAACATCATCACACTCTAAAACAGCATAATAAATTGACTTGTCACACAAAATTTCATCAACTAAATCAGCATATGGAAAAAAATGAAATTTTCCTTATTTTCTCATTCATACATGGTCGTTTCGCGTGATAATACATTGAAGGTAACATGGTTATGTCAGGATGTGAGTGGAACCTTCTCGATGGCTACATCTGCCTTTATTATATCACATTGCGGTTTAATAAGAGCATCTCCGCAACTTGAGAAAAAAAAAAGAAAATATTAATTAGATATAAATTGTTAACTAATCGTTTTGATGATAATGAGAAAGATAGACTAGATATTTTATCGAAGCATCATCTACATGTCTAATGAAAAGATGTAATATTTACTTAATGCAAATCGTTTTCGATGATTCACGACTGAAATTGTCTGCACGTGAGCTCAACGTCCTTCGCTTTGAATCCGAATAATAATTAAAACTAAACTATAAGAAACGAATTAAAATATCGAGTAATTATAACATATTAATAAAGGATGATGAAAGCTGTAATAAAATCACATCGAGAGTTCATGAAATATTTTATGATTTGTTTCTATTTTATTTTTGGGTTTTAATTTATCTTTTTTTATATAGCTTCATATAGAAGCTTGTTTACAAAACTTACTTAGTCATAAATTTTATCTTTATTCTTAATTATTTATGTGAGAGAAAAAAAAAGAGAGAGATTTACATAATGGACAGAATTAGTGGTCTTCAATGAGAATGTAACAAACATTTAAGTATAACATAAGTCTTATGACACTTTTTAAAAAAGTAATAGATGTCTCGTCAATTCAAAAATAGACTCAGTGAACACCACACAATTCTATTTGTGACTTTATGGAATTTTGACAATTTTTAAACGTAATTGTAATTTTCTTTACCGTATTTCGATCAGTCCTATTACGTTTTAAATTAAATACTCCGTACACAATTGGATTCATGCAACTGTTTGTATACGCAAATAAATACAGTGCCTTTTGTAGCATAATATTCGAACTATTTGCCTCATCTTTGTCAAGGAAGAACCTATAATACGATAGATAGAGAAAGTTATAATTGCAAAATGAATGAGAGGAAAATTTTATGAGGGTAATTGCACAAAAAGTTAATTGACACAGTAGGAAAAAAGTTTCTCTTACCAAACAACCATTGTATAGTAGGGCGTCCAACAAACGACAAAGCAAATCACTAGTTCATTGTGGAGAAGAAATAAAAAACGAGAGGTTAATTAAAAATAAGTCTCATAACTTTGACACTTTTAGTTCATTTTGAAAAGTTTTTTCATTGAAAATTGAAATACATGTTTTGAATCTTAAATGAGGATAGTGATAGAAATGGATGATAACAATGAGAATGCGAACTGTTGATAATGCACAGTCTTTAATGACATTATAATGAGATTAAAGGAACTCTATTGTTTGCTTACCAATTGTTATAGTCATTCTTAATGTTCGTCGCTTAGCACGACTTAATACATTCAAACTCGAACGTCGAAATCTATCTGTAAATATGGATGAGAATGTAATTATTTATCAGTGCTGCGTGCAAAATATTCATGTCATTACTATAATAATTAATTCGCTAAAGCAAATATTCTATGCCATAAACATTATTTTGTTTATTGAGTCAGGACTGTATCAAATATCAAAGACTTATAAATTTAGGTAATATTCAAGTCAAAAAAAAAGAGAGAGTGGCAAAAAATATTCCCAACATTCAAGTAAAGCCTGTGTCAGAGTCTCTATGGAGATGTATATATATGTCATTTTGGCCTCAAAAATGTCTTCGATAAGATTTTGTTATAAAGAGGATTAAATTACATTTCAAGGCAACGTTCTTGTCATCGCATTTACATTAATACCTAAAATAAGTTTAGAAACCTTCACTTACCAGAATTTTTTATTCGACTCTTTTGAAAAATCTCATAGTATATTGAGCCATAAGAAAATGTAATAATTACAAGTGGAGCAGCGTACATCATTAGCATACATGCTGCATTATATATGATCTAATTCGTTTAGAAAAGAAATAGGAGAAATTTTGTGAAAATCAAAGGAAGTAAAAAAATTAAATTGCTTTCGTGTCATTTGAGATGATCAAAGGTTCGAATTTTTAATTAAATTTTTGAATACTTACATCTCCACCTTCTGGAAGAACATTGAATGTCACGCACTGAGTATAATTTTTCACGTCTGGATGTTTTTCTTCATGGAAAATGTAGGCCTTTAGTTGCAAAATAAAAAAGAATGCGTTATTTATTTAGCAAAAGGTGATAAGGGTTTTATTTTTGAACGATTTAGGAAGACATAAAGGATCGAAAAATTAAATGAATGAATTACCTGCGGTGCGCTACAAAGAGCTGACGTAAACCATGCAAACGCAATCATAATCTTTCCACGATGTTCCTTCATATTCAAAGGCTTTATTACAGCATAATATCTGGAAATATGTCAAATGTACATCGCATTATTTCATTTTTCCTTTCAGTTCTGTTAGCATATCAAATCATTGACATTTGGATATAATAAACATGAGTTATGTTCTTCATAAATCTTTTTAAAAATCATTCCAACTTTTCTTTCGACATATGACAATTTAGTCAAATAGATAGCAGGGATTACTAGTACAAATATCTTCTTACATGTCAGAATTTGATATATTCAAGGCTTAGAAATTTTAGCGCGTACCAACAAATTGATTTTTCTCCAATTACAATTAAAGGAAATTTCATTCCATTTACAGCAATAAAATCGTGTTAACATCTCATTTAACATCCAGCAAGTAATGTATTGAATTATTCAATGTGATGGCAAAATTTATTAGCTCATGAAGAACAGGAGTGGTGCTGAATGAATGAAACTTTTTCACTTATATTACATTATTTTTTCATTAAATAATTGCTTATAAGAAATCTTGATTTTTTGACTTTTGACGTCATTGCAATTATTATATGAGTCATGTGAGCTGTAAACATATACATGATTTTTCGAGGGTGAATGTATGATATTTTGTTTTCATTGAAAAAAGACCAAGCAGGTTAAACAAATTGCCTTAAAAAAGGGTTTTTGACCTTTGAAATCTATTCCGACACGCTCCTGGACAAATTCTGACAAACGATATGGAAACTGATATTTGGTTTAACGAAGCGTTATCAAAAGATTTTTATTGATTCAAATATTATATTTTCGTCCAACATGTGTAAAAACAATTCTATGTGAAGGAGCTATGGGTTCGAAATTTCTTATAAAAAACAAAGAGATTCGAAAACAAAAAGCAAAAAAGCTTTGAAAAGCTTTTCTAAATATAATAGTCATTGACTTGTTTATGAAAATAAAGAAGAATTTTTTATTATTTCTCCAAGGAGAATATGCGTAACTTACATATTGGGGTAAATATTCTGTATATGTATTCATATCACGAATAATTGTTAAAAATGAAGCAGAAAAAGGCATACGTTGAGTATTCTTAAAGAATCACTTCATGTTTAGATCCGAAGTCTTAGACACATTTTTTATGTATGATGAATTGATTTTGATAAACTCATATAACATATGGTACTTCTATAAACAATGCAAGTCAAGCTGATGAAAAATTGTTGTGAAAACAATTACTTATTGAGAAATTTTGTTCTTTAAACCTAATATTTATGATTTTATTATAAATATCATGAAAATATATCCACAAATTTAAATCATCATTTAATTCTATTACTAACCTGTCAAGTGATATGCATACAAGCACAAAACTTGATAAATAAAGTCCGAATGTCCGAAAAAACATCATAAATCGACACATAAAGTCTCCAGCTATCCATTGAACAGTGAAAGCCCATCCAATCTCCAGTGGCATTATAATAAATGTGACCTGAAATGATTTAAAAAGCATTTGTTCTTTAATTTAATCCTTAATCATTTAATGTGTGTAATTGACAGGCAAATTGTCTTTAAAATTGGATTCTGTGTCTTGTTCAACCTTAATTTCTTACTAATATTTATTTTCATTCAATTTATTTATTTTAAAAATATAGGAAAACTGGGAAAACTTGAAGAAAATATTTTAAAGCAACATAAGTATATTGGAAATATTGAACAATAACAATTCAGAATATTTTGGGATATTTTCTTAGGAACTTCGATAAGACTCGATGCCTTAAGCTTCTATCATTCAAGATGTAAACATATAAAAAATTCATTAAATCTTTTGAATAACTTTAAAATCAGAATACAATCTCAAATTGAAAACTCAACAGGTTTCCTATTGAAAATCGATTTTTAACCACACACTCGATAATTCTTTTTGTGACATGTGTACCAAACCGATAAAACATCGTCAGATATATATATATTTTTTTGTCATTTATCATATTTCGAAAGCTTTTTGGATTTTATTTCCATTATATTGTTAAAAAAAATTAAAGTGCTAAATGAAGGTAAGTACACGACAAATACACAATTATTTTAGTAAGCTTTATTGCTTTAACATTTCGTGCTGCATATTAATTTATCTTGCTTTAAATGGAAGATCCCGTATAATATTATCCTCTTAATGTCAATACAAATTGAAAAGACAAAAATGAAAAATGAAGGATAGAACATCTCATTCACCAGCTTAATGACTTTTGTTTTCGTTCCTATCTATCATCATTTTTTGATTTTCATGAAACATGCAATAAAAAGAAAAAAGACATGGTTTTAATAGCCTCAATTCAGCCATAATAGCTTTTCCTATGTTCATCACATTGACAATAGAAATCAATTTTCATGGTCCAAATAATTCATTTCATTTAATGCCGTCTGTAATTTTTGATTCACGAACTACAATTTATCAAACAAATTGAATTAAGATAATGAAATAAAAAAATCTTAGTTTACAAAAAGAATATGAACAATAGGCTGGTGCTTAATATTGTTATATCGATTAAAGGATGACGTAAGTTGGTAATAGAAACTCACCATTAAATCTGCAATTGCTAGATGCGTAAGCATAAAATCCAGCCGACTTGTGGTTCTCATTCGTCTTCTCAACAATATTGTCAAGACTGTGATATTACCAATTGCTGACACAACCATCAAAATACTGCAAAAATTTGTTTCTGATTAAGCTTTTGAGACGCCATATTTGTAAATATTTTTTCAAACCTGTATACAATTATTGAGAGTTTATGACCCTCGTTAAAGAGCATGTCTGGCGTAATGGAAATATTCAGACTAGCTGACGATGCAGGGGTTGTAATTATTTGTCCATTTGCATCCATTTCTTCTGTAGTCATTTGAAGCATCTGTGAGCTCGTCATTCTAATCATATTTTGCTTTTGGTATTCAAATTTATTTTACTTATTTATCGTAGCAAAAATAGACCCATCTTATATTCTAAACATATGCAATGTTTCATTTTAAGCAATCATTTTCTCTACATCAAATTCGACTGTCACTTTCTCTATATATTCACAACAGAATTAGATTCGGTAGTACAATTTATGTCCTATGAGAAAAATATATTCAATGTATGTATTGTTTATGTTTCACTTCACGTATTTTAACGATTCGACTTCCTTCTTCGTTTCTGTGACTCAATTTCAATAGAAAATAGATTTTTTTTTCAGTCGCTATAAAAGAAAGTAAAATTATAAAGAAGATGCATGGAATTTATTAGCAAAGAAAATTTGTAACAATTTTTATAGAAGAATTTATAATATTTAATTTGTATCATGTTTAAATGGCATCCTGTAGACAAACTGCAAATACGTTTATATTCTTCTATAAAATAAATCCACTAAAATTTACAAGATAAGATCAGAAGTTTCAAGCTACATGTCAGGAAAAGAATTTTTATTGAATCACTTAAATATTTCGAATTCATGTCAAAGAAAAGTTAATACATGCAAATGGCAGAAAATCGAAAATGAGAAAATTAATTAGCGTTCTTTCCATCTTTTTTTGTGATGTATTGAATCCATAAAACATAAGACATTAGGGGTATCATTATTGAAAAGTTTGGCAATCTTAATTTATTGAAATTTATTCAAATTATTCGATTAAATTGATGGAAAAAAACCTTTTTTAAATATAAAAGATTAAGGATATGCTGTGAATTATCAAAATAAATTTTAGGCTCCAAAAAAAAGAATTTTTTTTCTTTAATTAAATGCAATTTATTTTTTTGATCGAAATTATGTCCAAAAGTCAATACACATGACACAGAACAAGCGCGGGGATATTCGATGAATCACATCCTACTACTGATACAGAGATGCTTTTGAAAATTGTCAATAACACGAAATGAGCATTTAAAAATGCTTTAATTTGAATCCTGATGAATTATATTAAAAATGAAGAATTCTCTAAAAATAAATTTAAGACACGCTTAATTCTTTATCAATTTAAAATTCTATATTAAGCATGTAAACGTTAATCTGTCATATTCAGTATTTCCCATTACTTAATCTACTTTTAAATGATAGAGCGCGGATTCAAAATCAACCTTTGTAATATCACTCATAAAGTGAGTGTAGCTTTGTGTTCATGATGATGCTACATGATTATATTAAAGAACTAGGAAATTCTAAGTTGTTTACTAAGTCTAAAGCTTTATGCGAAACGCAAAAAGATGAGAACTTTTTTTCGATGCTCATTACTCCTACTGATTTGAGAAAAACCTTTTATTAATAATAAATAATGCTTTGAGTGAACCTCTGAAGATTCCTTGTAAATGTTTTTTTTTTTCATCATTAGTATTGTCATTAGGAAATTACAAATGTAAACATGTTCTTATCATACCTTTTTGTGAAACAAATAAATAGAAAGTTTCTGACAAAAGTAAGACAAATGACTACATCTCTCAAAATTCGTTTTTCGGATTGAAAAACAGTAATTAATTTTAGTGATTTGCTCAGTATTGTATTTTTAGAAATGTTTACATCTAAGTGGGTATAAAGAGAGTTAATTTATAGTCTATAGATGCTTGTTATCCCATCAAAAACGAAAAATTCAATAAATTTTCACTTCAGCTATCAAAGTTTCCTATTCTTTATATATGTTAGATATTATTCGCAAACGACCTATAGGCAGGATGTCTTTTGTTTATCTTCTAGTTAACCCAAAACAACTGAACTATGGGAAAATGTTATCATGATGAAAATTTAATATGACGACATTAGAAATGTTCTGCAAATGTTTTGGAAGAGCTTTCATATTGCATTTCTATAAATATTTTTCATTTTCTACTTCTGTGTTCATGTAGTCTTTATTTGTCTTTCAAAAACATACTTTTTATTACATGTTACAAATAAAATTCTATGGTACGTATATATTGAGTCTATGTTTTTCGTAGTATTTCTATTTTAACTTAGAATATAATTTATAGAATTGCCAAAAACAATTAATTGCTTTTTATTTAATTACTGAACTTTACTTAATTACAACAGCTATTCTAATTTTTTTTATATCACTTAATCGTTTTTCTAGAGCCTGCTGATGATGTTCCTTGTGAGGAGAAAAAAATGACATGCTATTTACGAATGAGCGAATTCTCATTATCTCCCAAAAATGATAGCAAAATTTATCAAATGGATTTGGATTCTCTATGGAAAAGCTGTGATAAGTTCAAAATCATCGCAATAAGCTCATTTTTTTTTCCTTTTTTGACTTTTCAAATATTAATGTTTATTGTACCCTTAACTATTGAATGTTAATCATAATCATATTTCATGCATTATCACATACAGGATATTACTTGAATTTTCAATCTGATTACGAAAAATAAGCTATTGCAATACAAAAGAAACTGAAAAACCATTAAAAGATTTACGAAATGATACTTTTGGAAAAACTATTTTTGGCACAACTATGCATGACGTTGAAAAAAGGGTCAATAGAGAATTTTGAAGAAAAATTGACCTTTCAAGAGATAAAAGGTAATATTTTAAAGAAGAATTTTTGTTTGGAAAAGAATTTAAGGGTAAGTTTCCTACCACTATAAATCAGCAGTTAAATATTTGTTCTGATTTTTTCAAGCGAAAGAGTTTGTTAAGGGATAAAAGTAAATTATTTTTTTCTATAATTAATTCAATTTAAATTCTGCTGAATTGGGTCTTAAAATTATTTAACATTAATTTTTTATAATTCATGTTAATAAATAGAAATAAGTTACCTAAATTCATGTACAGACATACAGACAAATTGTCAAACATTCATTAAATCAAAATGTGAGAACGTGTAAACAACTAGAACCAGTGGCGTTTTAAAGGGGCTTCATAAACAGGAAGTAAATTCCCTACAGAAGGGCAAAAATTGATTAGGAACTCCACTGTTTAAAACTTTAAATTCGATGCATGCAGGTGACATTTTCATAAATAAAACAGTTATTTTAGCTTCGACGTAAACAAACTTTAATGAAAATTTGAAATTCTGAAGAACTCAGAAAAATATTTGGAAGCTTTATAAATTGAATGAAAATTGTTAAAACATTTAATTCAAGATTCAAAGGTCTTGATAGATGAAAAATAAATTTCTAATGCTATTTAAGAAGGACACATTCGTACAATAAATTTTTCTTCGTATAAATATCAATAATCAGGATAGAAGGATTTATGAGCATGTACGCATTTTCAATTCAAGTTGATTGTTTACCCCTAGTGGCAAAGTAATAGAAATGTTTGGAATGTTTTCGTTTTTGTAAAGCCAAACTTCGAAACGCGTAGGATACTCTCTTAGTCGAACCACGTAAAATGAAATGAAATTTTGAAGAACAAATCAATTATTTTTATTACAGCAAAGACCCATCCTAACAAAATTTTTCTTTCTCAACAAGCCACAATCAAATAGGAAAAAAAAAATTATTGTACCAAAGTACTTTTGAAGTATTAAAGCGGTTGTCGAGAAAAGTCTCTTAGGAACAAAAATATGTTGTTTTTAAATTATGAAATGCACAGGAGTGCTTTACTGTACTTCATTGTTCTGATGTTTGGGAAATATGAAATTTTAAGCATAAAGAAAAGTAAGTCAGGAAACTTTTCTCGTTTTTGACGTAATTTGCAAACATTCAAACGCAGTCATCACATCATTCAGAAAAGTGTGGATAACTCGTGTATGTTAATAAAGTAAAATTTAGTAACAGCATGGCCATGAGTTAGTACATGATATGTTTCCATATCTACTGGTACGAACATATACTAAGAATTTTTATTTTTGTGTATACCTGTACATCATTCATTGTTTAAATCAACTGCCGAATTTTGAGCCACTCTAATTTTAAGTACTATCATTCATATGTTGCTTTTATTGAAAATAAAACAAGGAACCAAAAGTCATGTTAAAGATATTTTTTTCGAAAATTTTGAGATTTTTTCAGTCTTAGTTCCGTTTCTCCTTTCCTAGGTAATTATTTAACTTTGGCAGCTATGGAACGTTTGAGAAACACAATGCAAGATTAATTGAATTTTTTTCTATTATTTTTCTGAAAGTCATGCTTCAATTTGAAAGTCAACATTTGCTACTAAGTTCCTGTTTTTCGTTATTAAAAAAATATGTATACCAGAGAGCTTTCCTGTCGTAAAAAGACTCAAAATTAATACTATGATACTAGATCTCAGCACCAAATTTTCTCAGAGGATTCATTTTAATTTCTTGGAGCTTAAATCAGCGGACATTTCGATATTAAAGATTCTACTTCATGTATTAACATTTAATAAAAAAAGTGTCTTCACATCATTTATTTTAATATCCTTTCTAATGCATTTCTCCATCCATAAAGTATCGCAAATTAATAAGTTTCATTAGAATTAATGTTTATTCAACGAAAAAGTTTTCCTAATAAAAAGTTTTATTTGTCTGCATCCACACTATGCTATGTTACAATTACAATAAAATTGGGAAAGTTTTCCTTAATATAAACAGTTTCAGATTCATAGACAACAAGTTAGTTCTATAAATTGTATTAATTTCGTATCATGCCTGTATCGTGCTTACTACATTATTGTGGGAAAAGTTTAATACTTATAATACAATGATTCTAACTTATCCATTATTAATGAAATCAGTTAAGGAATTCTAATAAACAGAAGTCTATTGTAGTGGACAATGCTGTTTAATTCTGAATTCAATTTTCCAATTCATTTAATTGTGATATCCACATGTGAAGATTCACACAAGCAGTGCATGATAATAACAAATGTCAACATTTAATTACAACATTTCAAAGTCACGCATAAATATGTTTACGACAAATAAAAAAAAATCTTGATGATTTTTTTTCTTTCTCAGTTTGTTTCGTCACATGTCAATTGCTCTTATTAAAGTTTATCAACTTCATGATTTGATATTTTTGCATGAAAAAATGTGTGAGAAGTATAAAAAAATTTAAGAATCAATATTGAAAAATCCATTTAGTATACATGTGTCAAGTCCAAAAATACAACTATTAACTTTTCGTCATAATCACATGCTCAATCGTCCAATTGAGCGAAAAATTTGTTTTTCTTTTCCCGAATCAACGAATTCCGGATTCAATGAAAAAGTTTCCTTTATCTTGTGTCTGTTCATAGCAGTTTCACTCTCTAAAGTAATCATTACTACGATTAAAAACATTCAAAGTGATGAGAGAACTATTTCAATAATCAATAGGTTATCAATCAAATAGAAAATGAATATACAAAAGTCGTCTACTAAACATTTAATTCGTCTTGTTTCATTTACTGACTTTTATGATTAACACCCAGCGTTTTCTTTTCTATGAATTTTCTTATGGAATTTACTAAATGTTGCGATGCAAGAAAGTATGTATTAAACTTGAACGGAAATGACGCAATGAATTTAATGCGAATCATTATTAGTTGAAGATGACTTGAAAAAAAATTTCGGGGCTTTTTTATGATAATTAACTTCATTCATGGGTTTTAAGTAAGAAATTTGGGACTGTCCCAAACAGATTGTCGTATTGTACATGAGGGTCATAAATTATTAATCACTTATTTTGTTATCAAAAAACAATTTTCATATTCTGAGACAAGAAAGTATTACTAACACATGCCAAGAGCACTGAGAGATTAATCTAGTTTTTAATCAAAAATTTGTAAAGTTTATCTTTGCCAATATTGTCTGAAAATTAGCAGGCGGTATCATTATTAGACACTAAGTGTGCTTTAAAATGCTTTAATTGAAAACAACATCATTTTTATCATTAATTAACAGCAAGTGATAAATATAAAACAATTTACATTATTTATTTACAACGCCAAAATAATAATTTCTATCTGCATACCCCATCCATCCCCTCAATCGCCCTTTCTCCTAATAACGCGAATTCAATGAAAATAGAAACTACCTTTAATAATAATTATCAAAAATTAATTTTACGGTTGAACCTTCTAATTGGACCATTAATTAAGAAAAAGAATTCAACCATCAACACACAAAAAAAATCACGTGTTTATTGACTTTGGAAATAATTTTATTTATTTTCGAAAACTTAAGCTATCATACGATATTTAAAGCATGTTTTCCTTTCATATTTTGTTAGCATCGTCAAAATATACGGTTGAAATAAATTAATGTTAATAAGTTGTGGAAATTTCCAAGATTAACAAAATATCTGAAGAATGTTTTTAAGCACCAAAATCTTTTCGGATAGAAACAAACAAGAAGAAGAATAATTTAAAGTTTTTAATTTCTTTTAATGAATTCATGTGAAAGTTTACATCAAAGAAATTAGAACAGAGGATATTCACGTGAATTCACAATCTCCCTTAATTTCATGCATGATTTTGTGTTTTGGTAAGGTGAACAATCTGAGACAAAGACTTTTTTATTTATTTTTTTTTATAAAGGAAGTGCACGTAAATGTAAAAACGGATATCATTTTTTATATGCTCTTTAAATCATAAAACGTATTCTTATGTTGATAACTGAGGATATGCCAAGGATATGCCTTTAAAAAGGATTTAAACTCTCCTCGATTATATTTGTAAGAAAATTTCACTATTCAATGATTTTAAGTTTGCAAATCTTTTAAACAATAAGTAAATAATAAAAACTTATTTTGTATTAATCAATATTCCACAAAAAGACATCACTGGCAAGCATGTACATAGCAAAATGTACTGATAAAGATTATAAAAGGTTATTCGCAGATTTACGCTGTTTTCTATATATAAAAATGACTTTGAAGATTCTTCAATATTCTATTTAAATGAAATTCCTTGATCTTAACTTGTACGTTACAAATTGTTACAGTAAAAAATTCCTTTCCATTTCAAATACCTTTCTATAATATCAATCAATCATCCGGATATGTAATTATTTAATTTATACTTCCATCCTCCAAAGAAATACAAACTTAAACAAATTTTTTTCTTGATTCACAGCTCATATTCTCATAAATTTTTTTTTATATTTACACTATTCTCTATATCAATTGATGTTAATCCAATAAAAATATTTTTTTCATCACTTCCCGGCTTCCCGCAGATAATTTTACTCTAATTTAATTTATAAAGAAGTTTCAATATTTTTGCATTCAGCACACAAAAATGTGAGTATAACGTCTATCCACAATTTATTTTATTTTTTTCAATACTTAATTCACTGCTTGTATTTTTTACTGATCCGATTCGTTCAAATGTCGCTTACTGACTGATAACTGAACGAATTTTTTCCTACTGTATTTTTTCTTCTTCTCAATATAATATGAGAAAATTTTTTGTGTTGAGTGAGGACATGGTTCTCGTATATAGTGATGAGCTTTTGCGCAGTTCAGTGCTTTTTGCAGTAATGCAATACAATTTCCTTTTGACAACTTTCTATCGTCACATTTTGATTTATTCCTAAAGAATATTTTCTATGATTTAAAAAACTTGAAATATGCTTGACATTAATTTATATACTGATTTTATGATAATTCTGACAATTATGTTTAAATGTTGTTTAGAAATGTCATTATCAATGCGGGAAATCTACACGCGAAATATGATCAAATTGAATATGCTATAGATTCTCATTCCTTTACAACTGTTATCGAACATAATAAAAGTATAAAAATAAACAAAGTCTAATCGTCTCAATTTGACACTTATCATTACTTTATAGGAGACCATTTGAAGGTCATACACTGTTGTCGCACTTTCAACTTCAGCTTTGTAATCATCTTCAAAAACTACATTTGTAAACTCTTCAAGAAGAGCCACATATGCGATACAAAGAAATTACTGCTTTAATGAAAAAAATGTATGTTGGTGCTGATATAATTTTCCGTATATGTAGTTCAAAAGCACGAGGAAGATATATGATTATAACTAATGGAGTCTCTTGAGATGAGCATCTCTTTAAAAAACCACAAAATTTGATTTCATCCTTTTTGTGAAATATAGTTAAAGAGGATGTTGCTTTAGAGACATGTTTCTGATCAAAATGCTTTATATTATGAACAATCAACATTAAAGAACATACGACATTTTTGGTGAATGACATACTAAGGAATAAGTTGATTGCAATATTATGAATACGATGATGATGATGATAATGTTATGTACCATGCTGTTTCAAATAAATTGTCTACTATTCCATGAGTGACACGTGAATTTATGCAAAATAAATTTATATTCATTGAAGCTCATTCAGGTGTGTAATTGAGGGATAATAAAGTTGTTTTGTGCACATAAAAAATATTTTCTATCGAAGAGCTTTTGCATGTGTCTCGAAAAAAAGAATGGCAGAAACGATAATTAATATTTCGCATTAAAACTGACTAGAGTTTTATTAATTAATGTTAAGAGCTCACATCTTTCTATTATTTCACCATTAAGAACAAACATATTTAATTAGAGCATGAGCAATTGTAGGCGAAATCATCTTCAACTTTTATCTATCTGCCAAATAACAATCGTTCTTGACTGTGCTTGCGATGTTAATGATTAGAAGAAATCGACCTTATGCTTAAATTTAGATTTCCTAAATAAACTTTCAAGAGCTTTTAAAATATTTTGGTCAAAATAAGAGCACATCTTCATTAGATAGTCAAATTAAGGTTTATGCGATCAGTCAACAACCTGTGATTGCATTAGCTTCTACAATAAATTTCATAGTAGACTGTAATTGAGTAAAGAAGCGTAAAATTCAATTTGTATTTCTATTTCAAATGCTAAGTCGGTTAAGTATTTGACACCTCAATCGTTAGGTGGTCAACATATATATTGATTTCCATATCCAAATCAGAGCACAAAGATGCAACATCAGATTAAGAGATTAGGATAAATCAATTAATTTCATAGCTTATTTTCTTTGTTGCAAAAAGTTTTTAATACCCAAGTCACTAACCTTATAGCCACACTAGTTGAAATTGATAACATGTTTATTATCTGGGCAATAAAGATGTCTTTTTGTCACTAGGGAGAGTCGATTTTATAGAGTTTATCTCTCATATTTTTTTTATCAGTATTGGCCGTTAATTAATAAGTATTTCACAGACTGATTTGAAGTAATTTATGCCAAAAAAAATACAGTCGTAAAAACTCGTGTAAATTTAATGGTTTATAGCACTGATAAAATATTACAGATAATTTATTAAGAAGATAGTAATTCACTCAGTAAAAGACTCGACATTTTTTTTTAAACTGATCCTATGATATATGAATTCAACGAAGTAGCAAGAAGGTCCAGGTTATGTTTGTGGCAACAATTATCTGCTACTACCCAGCATCAATTTGTGTAAGCAACAGATTGCTGTAGTAAAGTGTGTAAAAAGTTTTAAGCTTTATAGTTGATGTTTCTCCATAACTGACCACAACGTTTTAATTGCAGCAGTATTTTTGCAGGCTGATGTCAATTTGTCAAAAAGTTCAGTAATGAAGTTAATTTTTTTTATAAAATCTTGTGCTGCCGTTGTTGAATAAGCTTTATAAAAAATTAATATGAATTAGCAACAGTTGGATGCTAATGAAAATAACACAACTGTTGCATGTGGCATATGTATTAAGCAACAACGTAGCACATGATAGTTTTGTGGTAAGACATTTTTTTATGATAGTTTGTTCGCTGTTGCTTTGTATTCGTGTAAAATCAGGTTTCTTCTCAAACTTTTACATTTTAAATAAAACAGAGAAAAATTAAAGAGAAAAAAAATGTTTATTTGTAGACCGTTGTGGATCTCAGTGCAATCGGTGATGTTAAAGCGTAAAGAAGTGCGTCCTTCCAAGTGAATTTATTAAAAAATTTAAAATAAAGATTTTCAAAATATGAAAATCAAATGGAAGCTAGCGTTGAATTAATTAGCATGTATATTATAATTTATGAGAAAAATTGAGATATTTAACGAAGAGAAAAACTCACTGACGTACTCAAAAAGGCTCTGAAAATAGAGAGGGAGAGCTGGCTTATTAAAGTGTTTTATGCGAAAATTTTAAAGAAGTTAGTATGATGTTCAAAATAATTAAGTCAACTAATTGAAAGTGACAGAATGTTTCTTTAAATCTTTGTATTTGAATAAAAAAAAAATTAAGTTAAACTTAGTGATGTGCTAATATAATTTGAAAAGAGAAGAAAAAAAATTCAAGGATATATGGCATCTTATTGAATAATTTTATATTTTATTGCTCGATCAAAAAAGGTTTGATCATGCATAAATATGAGATCTATTGCTTTTTGTGGATATATTAAGTTAAATACATCATTCATCAGCATTTCATTCGCTTAATGGAATGAGGATTAATCAAATTTGGTCGGCTTGCTAATTTCATCGAATTTTCTCAAATCATTCATTTCTATAGCTGTGCGTAGGTCCCAAACCATACGAACATTGTTATCAACACAATTAACATTTAATTGATTCATGGAAATTAATTTTGAGGAAGAAGTTGATTCATTTTCTTAATAAAAGTGATTGTGCTGTAACATGTTGAAATAAATCTATGAAGGTGTTTTATGACTCACACTAATTTTTATAAAGAATTTTTCCTCCGCTTGTTCCTTTTAACAGCCTTTGCATGTTTTTAAAATACTTTTAAAAGATCAAAACAAATTATTCTTATGATGTTAGAAGATATATTTGATTTTAATTGATATTGCTTATATATTCTATAATAAAATAATTGAGATTTTTCCTAAGAATTGAATGATATATGAATTTTCATTAGCAATCTCATTACATCATATCAGTTTCAATTTCAATTTTCTAATGAATAATTTGTTAAATGAGATTGATAATTCAAACGATTAATTAGCTAAATTTAAGAATGTATTAAATTTAATTAAAATCTATAAATGTAATTTGAATTAAATTAAATGAAGACTGTTTATCATTTTTGAAATTTTCACGGATTAAAAATCCATTCTCGACTGTGGTTTTTTGAACTATTCAGACATTTTCAAATAAATTTTAAAAATCATTTAACTAAGCATTAAATTTCGACAAATTTTGTAAAAGTCTGTCAAATGTAAAATTTTATAAAAAAAAACCTATCTTTTTTAAATGCTAATTGACGATTGTTTAGATCATCTTGCTTAAATAATTGACACTGAAATTCTTTCCTTAATGCAAATAAAAATTTGAAAAATATTTTCACAAATTAATTGTTTTGATAATGTATTCAACAAATTGGAACTGAGTGCAGAAATCAATTGATTATTTATAGTGTATGCAATCTCAAAACAAATAATATTGGAACTGATTGGAACTCATTGGAACAGATTGGAAATCTTTTTGTTTCTTAACACATGCTTTAATTATGATGTTCTTCTAGCATATAACATCCCTAAATTATTTAATTTAAGACATAGCTCCCGCAGATTTTAATTTTTTAAAAACGAAGACTTTAAGCTTTGTATGAAACATAGTCAAAGATTATAATCTTTGTATGGGATTATTTAACGAAAATAATCTGCAAAAGCATTGATTTAAGATTTGCTATAAATTAAATGAGATTATAAGATATCTCAATATCAAGATTTCAATAGGGGTTCGTTCACTAATGACGTCCGAAATTAGCGGTCATTTTTCAAAAAAGAACAATGGATTTTCAGGAATTTCTATTGTTCTTTTCTCGCTGAACCCCCCCCCCCCCCCCCTGGACGTCATAAGTGAACGGCCCCTAGAGAATTTATCAGAATTTCAAATTGTTCAAAAGAAAATAAAAATCCACTAACCATTTAAGATGATTTAAGCCTCATTAATAGTACTTTAGTATTGTGGACATATTTATTCAAACTGAGTGCTCATTAGTTGGTTTGCAAATATATTTAGCACATAAGAACCTTTTCTTTTAGTAAAGTAACCAAAAAAAACATACTTCTAAGCTAATTGTTTGCAAACATTTGCCATAAATTGATGTTCAACTAGCATTTAGCCACTTGAAACACTCTAAAATATTATGAAAATTTTCAAGATTTTAAAGGAAATTAGTCGTCGCTGAAACAAATTCGAATTAATTTGTTACCTTCATCACATTCTAATTTAAATTCAAAATTTGCAAAACATTCAGGCATGATGTCAACAGATCTGACAAAAAATTTGAATTATTTTATTTCTGCGAAATTGATTGTAAATGAAATAGATACTTTTGAGCGCAGAATATGATTTACGAGAACGTAAAATATTCATTTTCACTCCATTACTCAAAATAAAGACATCTTGCTTATTTTTGTATATAAGAATGAAATATGAGGAAGGAGAGAAAAGAGTAACACAAATCACGCGACAGAAATATAATTGTTGTTACCGAAATCTTGTTTCAATGATGTGTTGTGTACCAGTTTTAAGTGTTTAAGTTTCTTAGAAAATCAAATTGAGCAGTTGAAGGAACATCAATAAATCCTTGAAATCTTATCTTCAAATTAAAAGTGTGATCTGCTAAAGTGTTGTGCTTAGTCGAATAGGAAACAATGTAACAATTGAAAACTTTTTAAGAGCTTGGGTAGATTATTAAAAAAATATATGTAACGCCTTAAAAATAAATTTTTTTTAAACCAAACAAATTGCTCATTACATGAGATCATTAATAATTTTTCAGACTCAAGACTTACGTTATGTCATACTTTTTAGACACCTTAAATAATAGAATTTATTAAATCATTCAGTAGAATACAATAAAGAATTAAGGTGACAAAAATCTTTCCATAGAATTAACTTTATTAAATTTGATGGTTTCTGCCATAAAAGACTTTTGACAATAAATCACAAAGGCGCCAGCATCATTACGTACTTTTTACATGGGCTGACTTGAACTGCCTCAAGAAGAAAATCAACAAATGAATTATTGATAAAATATTAGCTTTTCGGTATAATTAAGAGAACAAGAACAAATTTGTTAATTCTTTCTCGAACTTTTTGCACGCAAAATGGAATGACGTGATGATGATGTAAATCCCACAAAAAGAATAATTGGTTTTAAATAAAATCCGAGCTGCACTTATGATAATCGGGTAGCTGATAAAATGCGAAATACAACAAAAATTGCCAATTGAGTGTCAAATAATAGCGATCCAAATATCATACAATGATCAGACATGTACTGTTCGGGAGTTTATGATATGAATATTAAAAAACAAGAGTGAATGACGTCATAAATTAATTAATAATTTTTCAATTTTTCATTTTTTTCACGAATCTTTCAACAAAATTGATGAATGTTATCACTGTGTAGTCACAATATATTTACATTCAGCGAAAACCACTTTGAATTACAATGAGGAAATTTTTCATGCTACTAGCTCTATTAGTCATGGTGGAAAGTGGACTTGGATTATCTATCGATCCAGGTAAATACCGTGAATGAATATTAATACTAAGTAAATGTGTCTGTAAACACTTATAGTCTTATTTAAATAATTTTTACAACGCGATACTTTATTTACAGAGGCATCTGCAGACTTGGAACAATACATAAAAGATGATTTTACAATCTCAATGCGTCACATTCGGTAAAATAAACACTTTTTTTGAAATTAGTAATGCGTAACTCCAAAAATGCTCACGTTGAACTTTTGACATTTACCTTCCTGATGAAAAATAGCCCTTTGTTGTGAAGGAAAGTTGTTATTTACAAAAAAATCATGAATAATGGTCTTTTTTGCATAATGGCACACATCCCGTCTCAAAAAGTGCTCACATGTGCTTTCTAGTATAAAAATCCAATAAAAATTGAAGCGAGGCGTAAAAAAAATATAATATAAGAAAAATTATCCTATTCAATTTCTAATACATACAATAATTTTATTATTCGTGATAACTTTAGACCACGAAAAAAGGCAAAAATATCAATCGAAGCCCTTTTCATGATTGACTTTCCCGGTGCGAAGAATAAATTCTCGTTCTATCTCGATCGCAAGTCGAAACGAGTTACAATTGACATCAACTCAAATTCGCAAATCTTTTCTAAACATCTCGAAGCTCCGAGCCTAAATGAAACGACCACAATTCGTTCGCTTGCATTCAGCTTTTCTGGGAACTCAATCAGGTTGTTTATTGACTGTAAAGAAGTTTATTCCGATGAAATGGAGTTTAATCTCTCTAAGTTGTATCTAAACTTGGATGAACCTGAAATCAAAATTCTACGTGAACGGAAATATCCATTATATCTTGATCGTAATGTTGAGAGTGCTCTCATTCGTGCCAATTGCCAAAAATCAGGGAAGCAGAAAGGTAATCGAAAAATGGTCAAGGATAATGAAATTCATGGATACTACAACGGTAAATCTTATACATTATTAAAATGAATTTATTCCAAAACCTCACCTTTTTATTCGATTGATTAGACCAAGAAATAAACAAGAAGCAACGTGGCAGACGGGATCACAGAAATAATCGTGCAAATCAATACAATACCTTAGCACGTCGTGGTGATATTTCTGTTATTCATGGTGATTGTGATGGTAAGATTTTAAAATAAAAAATATTTTTATTAGCAACTATAACAAAAAGTCTTTATTGATTTCATTCCCAGATAACTTATTAAAAGGAATGAACGATTTAATTGCTCTCGTAAAGAAGCTTGAAAAGGATATATCGAATCAACATAGTGATATTCGACGACTACAATCGCTAATTGAAAATTGTGCAGCATGTTAAGAATTTTTATTGCTACATTATAGTGTATAGTAATAAAATTGTATATAAAATAATTTCTTTGGATTGAACATTTTTTTATTCTAAAAATAAATTAAATAACAGTAATTTAAAGCTAAGGTATTAAAAATGTGAACAAAATAATTGCAAAAAGTCACCAAAATGAAGAGAGCCAAATTCACGGAAGGAAATTTTATTCATTTATTAAAATATTTTTGCTATAATCTTGGGATTAGCATCGTATTATTTATATCTTTAAGGCAGGTTTTACTAAGGATCGTCTACATAAATCTCGTGTGAAAATTTTTCATTTTATATTCAAAACCAGATTTCTTAATCTCATCATCCTGTTTGATTTTTTTTAAATTATATTTACTTTCGACTAGGATTTCGGAATCGGCTCGGTAATCTTAAATTAAATTTTGTACTGTGAATACTCAATACATCATGCAAACACATTATGGCACACGATAATTTTTGTATCAATTCTAAATCATTCATACATTTACAAAAGAAAAGAAAAAAAAAATAAACTTCCTTCTTTAAAGACGAAATTTTATCGTGTTTTATTATTTTGACGAAAAATACATACACAAATATTAAGTAACATATTGCTTATCAACAGATTCATCATATTTCGTAAGGACGCAAATGACATCAAATTACTTATGTAAATTGCGACACATAATCGAGTGATACAAATTCACAAGACAACAATAATATTCAAAAAGTCATTGGCATTTTGACGGTAAGTAAATTTCATCGAGATTGTTCTTGAAACAATTACATTTACTGTTATTACTCTTCAAACCCGATAACTCTGTCAAGTGGATAAATATTAAGAGACCTTTGACGTAGATAAAATCAATAAGGTTTTCGCGATGGATGAAAACTCCAAAACTTTTTCAACAATGTGAAACAAATCATCAACAAGAATGAATTTTGATTTTGCGTGGATGTTGGATGCAAGTTTTTATGAGTACATTAAATTTTATAGTCGGGTTAATTTACCATTTTTAAGTTTGAAAAGTTTAATAGGAATTCATTTAAATATTTTGAGCATTCACTTTTTGATCATTCTAATTATTAAATTAAAATATTCATACTCCTTCTTTTGCTAATTAACAGAATTTATAAACTAATTTCAATCTTGAAATATCTCGTAATATTGAAGCAGAAACATTTTAAATACAATCAAATCCTTTTGTTCCATTTTTTTTCTTCTTGTTGGTAGAGGTTAAATCAATACCAAAAATAGAAATTAATGAAAAAATTTGGGCAAGTTAAAGCAATTAAGCTACAAATCCAGGTTTAATTGCTGAAAGTCTACATGCTTCATCAATCAATTTGAATCACCCAGCTATCAATCTCAAGGATTTGGAAAGCTGAAGTTTTCTTAAAATATTAGCTTGCCTTATCAATGAATGATGATACAATTATTCTCATTATCTAAGTTTCAGCTACTTGCACCTAAGCTTAGAAATGATCCTTACATTCATCACTTCAATTGACTGTCAAGCTATTAATAATATTTTACTTTAAATCTCATTCATTGTTTTCTTTTCTTAAGGTAAAATGTGCGTGAGAAGACGACCCTTATTAATAAAGGAACTTTTTAGAATATTTGCAACCTTTTTGAAGGAAATTTTTGAAGAAAATGCGCTTAAATATTTCAGAGAAATAAAGTCTGTCCATTATTTTATTTTTCAAGTTTTTTAAATGGGTAAGAAATTCAAGCTATATGGATCGTGTAATTAAAAAAGTCTTATTTTATTGTTATTTCCAGAAAAAATTTCCATCAAATAAAATATTCATTAAAATATTTTTTGCATTCATCCATTCTTTTGATTCGCAATGAAAATATCAACTTTATGTCAGCTCTAATTGTAAAATACAAATAGTGAATGTGTCTCACTTTTCCTGTAATAAAAAAAAAGCTAGAAAGAAATTTAATCTGTAATAAGTTCATTAAGAAAATAGTTAAAAGAATTGCCATTTCTGCAGTAAAATAAGTTATTCGAAATATTTAAATAAATAAGAAGAAAAAACCACTTGGCAGGATGTGACAAGTTATCTGTTTGGTTAACAAGCCCAAACATATTAAACACATCATAAAAAAGTACCAAGACACACAGTATTTATGTCAACAATGTGATAATAAATGTTTGTTAAGTCATTAAATGTTTAACCAATTATAAAAAAATCAATTTTATTTTTGAAAAATAATTTTGTTGCGACCGTAAAATAAATTTGCTTAATTCATTTACAATATATTCAACATTAGACAGACGACTGTCAAGGTTAAAAAGCTTCAAGAAGCTGTTTTGTTGTTTGGCTTCTTTCCTTTCAGCACCATTATGTTAAATTTCATTTGTGATTATTTGAACAATTTTTTGCCAAGATTCTAGATGCTAAAAAGATATTTTTGGTAAGTTATGAGCAGTTGTTACCAACGATTCATGATAGAAAAAAATTTCCATACTTTATATGATTTGATAGAAACAAGTGCTTAGTGAACGATCAAAATGTGGTGTAGTATATGACATGCAACGCAACACATACGAGACACACAACCACGACATTCATCATATAATTTTTGTTTTTTTTTTCTTTCACTGTAAGTATACAAAAACTTAATTTTTTTGTGAGTTTTTCTTCTCTTTAAAGACTAAATGTGTGACATGAGAAGAAAAAAAAAATCGAAAATGATTATAAGTTAAAGTTTTTTAGTGCAGTCGTTGATTTCGACGAGTGAAGAAGTGAGATTAGATTTTGAGTGTTTGTCACACGTGAGACGATCGTTCGGAAAAAAATTATCGAAGTAATGAAAAATAACTCTGTTAATTAATAAAGTATAATTGGTTGTGATTTTCTCTAAATTTCATTAATTTACATCAGTTACTTGATAATTTTTTAAGTAGTTTACATGATAAAATGATTTTTCATTTCAATTGTCATCGATATTGTGTCAGATGCTGTTAATAAATTTGCTGTAACCGGTTAACCAGTTGAGCTAATCAATAAGAAAATATTATGAATCGTTGAAAATGTCCGAAGGTTAAAAATTCTAAGCTTCTTGATTTTTCATACCTAACGTTGATTGATTACAATGCATAATTAATTTTTCAAGATTGAGATTAGAGATGACGAAATTCTAATTCTCAATAAAATTACTCAATGAATTTTAATTATTAAAACCTTTTTGCTTTTAAGCTAAAACCAAAAAAATAAAATCATCGTAAATTTACCATATAATTAAGAATCTTGCTGTAGAGTTTTTAACAGTTACTGATTATGGGTTGTCAACTTATGCTAATTACACCGCAAAATATTACAAGCTTTTAATTATTCACGACTTCTTCACAAGACTTTTACTCGCTTAATGAAATTTCGAGTTTTGAGTCTTTAATAAGCTGCAATATGTTGCAGACTTTGATTTCTTAAAAGTCTTACATTTAATCTTTAAATTAATAAAATTTCTCGCCTCTTTCAATTCTTTTGCACAGTATTTACATTTTGCCTCTTTCAAGTCACACACAATCGAGTTGTATTGAAGCATGAACCCACATGAAATAAAAATTTAAAAATTATGCAACGCCCACGCACGCGACAAGATTTGAATGTGACTGTTAGATCTACCTGTGTGTTTGTACGTTTTGATTTTTATACTCTGTTTCTGATACTTTAGTGTGTTCATTAGTGTATCCAATTTTTTTTTGGAACAAAAGAAAAAGAGAATTAAAAGAGGTAAATTTTTGTTCCTGTCTCCTTAATTTTTTAGTCTCGCAGTTATTTCAAAATATTTTTTTATTTAAAAAGAAAGAAACCTGAAATTTATCTCATCATTACAATTAAAGGTTCATTCGAAAATGATGTAAACCGAAAAACTACATAGATCTCAATTTAACTCAGATTTTTTTAAATAAAAATTATCTTCTCGGTTGGTCCTCAACTCCAAACTCCGAAACCATAAATGATTTTGGACGTCATTATGTGCCTGACCCCAAAGAGGAAAGAGGCAAAGTTGAAAGAAATGCCATTATGATAGTGGTGCTAATGGATGTTCATGCTTTCATTTACAATAAATAATAATGAGTATTACGCCTCAACATGTCTTTTTGAAACTTATTCATTGATGTATCTACATTTGACACGATATGAGAAAGATGTTGTTGATAAAAAATGTGAAGAATCATTTATCATGCGAAAAAAGGAACTTTTATAAAAATAATTATAGTTAATAATCAATTACGTAAAGCGTCATTTTCATTTTTATTTCGTAAAAGTCGCATTAAATTAATAGTGAACAAATTGAAGTAGAAAACAATGAAAATATTGGGTACAAAGTTATAAACAACGTAGAAAGAGAATCGAAAACAGACAGAAAACCACTTCATTAACTCATTTTTTCCTTCTGCTTTTTAATTTGCATATTTGACGACACATCGTTTGCCTTAAAAGGTTTTTGCTTCATATCTGCATTGTAATCGCATCGAAAGGTGAGTTAATAACTATCATAATCTAACCATCAATAAATAATGACATCGACTCACAATTGATTACAGAGCTCGATTGTGATTTCCTTACAAACATGTAAATTTACGATAATAATCATGTCCAATCATTAAAATATGTCTTAATTTTTTTCCTTTCGCGAAATGCAAAAGAAATTTATTGAAAAAAAATCTGCAATAAATGTTTGACATGATGTAAATATTACGGTGATGAATGCTTAAAAATCCATTCAATCCAATTCCGTCATTCTATAGAATTAGCATTAAGAGTTTTTCGATGTTCTTTTCAAAATCGATTTTATTTAATTCTGGTAATAAAGGTCTCGAAGGTCATATTTTTTTTTCCAAATCGTCACTTAACATCTAAAGCAAAAGGGAAGTTTGCGACCGAAAAGATACGGTCTAGAAATAATCAGACCTTTAAAATTATTTACTAGCATTGGTGTGGTTTAAACAAAAAATGTAAAATCCGAAAGCAAAAGAAGGAAAGAAAATGTTTTTTCTTCCTCTCTCCTCTCTTCTCTGCTTGATTAAACATTTCTTGAGCAGAAAAAAAATATATATTGCTTTATGCCATGCATAAAAAATGGCTAAGAAAAGGAATTTATGAACAGCATAACATCTGTGATTTCAATTGGCAAATTTGGCATTATAGCAATGTCGAGTTGAATGCAAAGCATGCAAAAATGATTTGCAATATCATAAATTTTATCATGACCATAAATTTAACTTCATCGGGTTTGGTGACAAAATGTAACACCTTGTCATGTAAATTTCAAGCCGCAGATTTTTTGATTTCATATTCATAATTTCTTAAATGTGTGTGAAGCAGAATTGAATTGAAAGTGAAAAACACAACGAAAAAGGCAAATTGCTTTATTTTCTGGAATCATAAAAACTCATTTAGGTGAATCAGAACAGATGAGAGAGAATAATTCCTTAAGTGAGAGAATATCTACAGATAGGTATTATTGAGACATACTGAAACACATTCATGCTATTTAGTCAGCTTCCATCATCAATTACTGTCTTTTCAGAGCGTGAAATTTACTTATAACGTCCAATCATTTCCATCAAGACACCAGCAGGTTTCTATTGCGCTTAAATGACCATAACTTTGCCAATTTTAATGCATTAATATTCAATTATACTACAGTAATTATCATCCATTTAAAAATAATCTCTCCATCACATTTATTGTCATTTTACGACGCAATAGTCTTCGCATTTCATTTATTATATTGTAAAAATTTAATTATTAGTTCATGACTTTATACAACGTATGTTGATATTCAAATAGCTTTTTTACAAGTGGTATTAGATTTAGCAATTTTAGTTTAATTTATTTATTATGTGGTAGTCAATGGATATAAAATTTCTAGCATTCAGTCGCCGTATTTTTAAAAGCATTTGTCAGTTCCTGACTTCATTTATAAACTTTATGAATTTTTCAGTTAAAAACCTTAGGGTGAATTGATCAATTTGAATGGTCTTAATTAAGTAATTTGATAATATCTCCATATATCATTCAAATATGTGCATGATGGACATATGGAAGGCGAGCATGACTGTTAAATTGAAGTTGTTATGCCTCTATAAGAATTTTATGAAACGATGTGAATCATTCTTAAAGAAGAATTTTGTAAGTCAATATTCCCAAGAATTTTAGAATATAAATTAATAAAGCTGTCATCGCGAAATCCTTAATAAGCAAAAATGGAATTTTTTCATACATTTTGAAATCAAAACCAGTTGTTTTAAATATTTTTCCAGCGAAATAAATAAAATTATCACATAAATGGTTCATCAAAAATATATTGTAATTTAATATAGAGTATGTGGGATGATCATTTTGTAAATTTAGTTTATTTTGATTGTAAATCAACCTTAATAATCTGAGTTTTAATTAGCGTACATACAGCTGTACCACAATTATAATGGTGAATAGCAATTGCATAAATTTGGTGCAAATTAAAATAACTTTAAGTCATTTTAAAATTTAAAATTGATATTCTGATATTTAATCAGACTGAAATGTATATTTTTAAAAATTTCTCAGACAGAGAGATAAGCTTTACTGTTTTTTCATTCAATATTCAATATGGTTTAATGGACCATCCAAAACCAGACCACTTTTATATCGGCAAACAATTAATTAACTTTTTAATGCCGCATTGTATCGGTAGATTGAAAGAGTTGATAAAGCACATTTGCATAATCATGCTGGGAATTAAGTCATTTTAAATATATCTCAGAAGCTGCTGTATTAAACAGATTTTTTGGTTGATAAAAAATATTCAAATTTTATGCTGAACAAAAAAGACATCTCTTCCACCAAATGAATGTCATTCTTTTTAAAAATTTATGAACATCTTTACTTCGTTTCCGTTGAAACTGGATTGTTTTCTTCATAAATTTTTTGCCAAAACTGATTTTCCTTAATGCATTTACCAACTTATATTTACGTCATCTCATAAAGATGAAAACTTTTAATATTAAAAATTTAGGTTCAAAAAAATAAAAATAATCTTCTTAGAAGGAATGATGATGTCTGTGATGAAGTTTTATTATTATCACTCCTACAACAAGAGCTTTCAATAAAGATGAAATGTCTTGATTGAGTGACTTTCTTAATCGATGACATTTTCTTCCTTAATTGTGTATCCCTAAGTCTTATTAAAAGGGTATGTTCTTGAAAAGTTTTTACGCTTGAGAATTGAATGATAAGTGGACATATTTTTGCATAAATTTTAAACATTAAGGGGAAATTTATTTATAAATCTTAGGTTATTTCGCTTCAGGAAATGGACTGAAATTTTTGATGGGCTTTTCCTTTTTAAACGCGTAAGATTTATCGCAACATTATGAATGATTTTTGATGATTCTGAAAGGCACATTAATCTTTCTGATTTTAAATTAATGACATAAATTTCCGTTTTTTTAGAACACGCGCTGCTTTGAAGAAAATTTTCCGTTTACAGAAATTTCCCTCTTGCATTTGAAAATTTCACTGAAGTTGACGTTGTGGATCATTTGAATATTACGTGATGTTAAGATTGGCAAGTTGAAAGAATCTCCCTTTTTTTTATCAAAATTAATAACAAAAGAGTATTTTTCTAGACTCTAGAGTCTAGAGCTTTACGTAAACAGGCAAATAACCATTTAAGTAAAACTTCAAAGCACATTATCCCTTGATTTTGGAATTTTTACTATTTTTTTAAATGTATTTTCAGACATTAAAGCGTAATGTAAATTATGATAAAATATTTAAAGAATCTTACAGTTTAAGTTGATGCTATGTCTATATTGATTTAAGTACGGTAAACAAAGCATGTGCTAAAGTATTTATAAGTGCCTCAACATATAAATATCACGTACTCATGAATCTGAATACAAAATCCATCGATATTTTTCAAAACAGTCTTATAATGTTCTTGATTTATTCTTGCTTCTAGACGTCTACAAGAATGTGATAGAAATTTAATTTTTACTTAAGATGAAAGATTATGATACATGTGAATCATCACATATAGTCAGTAAATTATTTTCAACGGTATCAGACAAAATATTAAAGACAAGAATGTTGAATTTCACACGTTTCTCTTAAACTTTATGGAAGAATCACCAAGAAACTGAAAACATTTATTACATTAAAAACTTTTCAATTATTGAATAAAAAATATAAGTAGATAAATACGAAAGAAAAACATCAAATACCCATTAAACTTGACCTTCTTGACTGCTGATAAGTTAAATTTATTTTACTTTGTGGAATTGATTTCGATCCTCTAATAAGCTCCTTTATCAATAAACTTCATAAAATGAACCATAAATTCAAATTTATTTGAAATCTTTTTTTCCTCAGAAATTTATTCAAAATATTTGGTTTGTTAACAAAAAGAAGCATTGCATTGATGGACGTTCAGGGGTTTATTGAGTTGTGATGTTACGGTAGTAACCTTTTTAAAGACTAAGAGTCTATTGTGAATGTCAAAATTATGAAAACGATTCTGCAATGCGATTGAAACTTTAAGACTATACGGGTAGGAATTCGGTCTTCTTCAAAACTTTGTAGCTATATTTGTAGCTATATAGTTACCTAGCATCTTTACTAAAAAATAATAAGAAACTTTGACTGCAAAAGATGAAAAATGGTTTAAAATTTTTTTTAAGTCTTTAAAAGGACAAGATCAAAATTTTAAATTAATTGGCATGATAAAATGCTTCACACAAAGTTTTTTAATCCACTTACATAAACATAAATAAACAAACACAAGAAGAAAAGATGTCATCATATCTTCTCTCTTAAAGCAAGATAAAACCAAAATAATGTTGGGGTAAATATTTTAGAAAGTAAAAGTTGAAGCAGATTCTGAATGAAAACGAAAAGAAGGAAGAATTCGGAAAGAAAGGAAATTGAAAAGGAAAGGATGTTATGGTAGAAATTTTATCAGATAAGAGGAATTTTATTCATGTCAATATAATGTGAGCAAATGCAACATCAAATGTTGGGAAAGGCTTTAGAAGTTTATTGTAAACTCACAGACTTTTCTTTCTGTTTAAATAAAATTTACATATTATGTTAATGCTTTCGTTTACCATTATCAGAATGATATTAAACATTTATAACCAGCTTTAAGTACTTTATTTTAATTTCATTGAGCATTTTATCAATAATTTAAAGTGTTTACTTCTCATCGTGCTTGTTTTACCTCAGGAGGATAAATTTAGATGAAATTTTAAATAATCTGTAGACTTGCATGTAGATTAGAGAACAAAGCCGTCTTCTTTAGACATAAAAGAGTGCTTGGAGCAAAATTTTAATAACACAACAGCTAGATTTATGATTATGTTTCACACCTATTCGTTTAAGCAGAGTTTGCAAGCTGGTAATTCGTGCATATGACAGATATTTCATGAAACTCAAATACATAAATTTCTAATAATAATTTTCAGAAACACGAATTTAATTAGAACCTCAACCCTAACGCTGCTGGAAATGTATAATTTCAATGTGTTGATAAAGAGACAGTAAGACACCGAATGAAAAAAATAATAACATTTGAATTTTATGAGTATGCTCTTTAAAATGATGAAAAAACTGCGAATTTTATGCAAATTAAATGTTTTTCGGAGATGATACTTTATTTCCTACAAATGTAAATGTTTCTATTCAGAATCTTGAAAAATTTAGGATTATAATTTACATGTTATGGAACCTTTTATATTGGTAGACGATCAATTTTAAAGGTTTTGTAGATGAATTAAAAAATGAAAACAAAAGAGAACTGCTCTCTGAAAACCCAAGTGTATAGTTATCTACTTCATGATTTAAGAGTACAGCATTAAGAATTTGTAGTCAAGCTTTCAAATATTTTTTGAGATCTTAGAAATTTTAATAAAACAAATTCTTTTAAAATTTATAATTTTTTTTTAAAATCTCGTCGTTAGAAAAATCAATGACACTTTGTAATGGGATGAGTGCATAATTCTATCAGTAATATTATTAATTAAAAAATTGAATACCTATACAAATTCAAAACAGACTAGTGTATCGGGTAGAAACCCAATGCGGATTATATTCACACCGTACTATCAAAAGTCTTATAGATAAACCAAGATTTGCCCAGTATAAGTATGAAGGTATGAAGCTTAATAAGTCAACTGAGCTTTGCTCAGCATAAGTTTGAAGATATAAAGCTAGCGAGTCAGCTAAGCTTTGCTCAGCATATGTTTGAAGGTTTAAAGCTTAACGAACATTCTTTAAAAGTTTTTTAAAAAATTTTTCATCTAATGTTTAATTTTATAAAAATCCCAGTCAACTTTTGCTTTGAAAAATTCTTAAGAAAGGAAAGTTTTTTGCTATTTCTGAAGCAACGGCTGTTCCTACCTTGCCCAAAAACAATACAGCTCTTCTATAGAGCAGCACAGATCAAATGTAAAAAACTAGAAGTCTCTACGATGTCTCGTTATTGAGTTTTCTTGCTGATTAACTTGCTTGCTTTCTTGCTTACAGAAAGCGTATTTTGCGATTTTCTCAGCAATACCGTAACCAATTTGAAATCTGTTTTTTGAAATCTTCTATGACCATTTATAACCAATTTTGCTTCGTTTTCTCACAAAATGCGAAAAACTGATTTTTATATTCACACCGTTTTCACGTGTGAATTAATTGGTTTTGTTCAGATTGAAAAATCAGTTTTTCGCATTTTGTGAGAAAACAAAGCAAAATTGGTTATAAAAGGTCCAAAAACATATTTCAAATTGGTTGGGGCATTGCTGAGAAAATCGCAAAATACGCTTTCTGTAAGAAAGCAAACAAGCATGCAAGTTAATCAGCAAGAAATCTCAATAACGAGACATCGTAGAGACTTCTAGTTTTTTACATTTGATCCGTGCTGCTCTATAGAAGAGCTGTATGGTTTTTGGGCAAGGTAGGAACAGCCGTTGCTTCAGAAAAAGCAAAAAACTTTCCTTTCTTACGAATTTTCGAAATCAAAAGTTCACTGTGATTTTTATAAAATTAAACTTTGAATGAAAAAAATTTTTTTTATTCAAACTTATGCTGAGCCTAGCTCAGCTGACTAGCTAGTTTTATATCTCCTGCTTTCTTCATACTTATGCTGGGCAAATCTTGGTCTATCCATAAGACTTTTGATGGTACGATGTGAATATAATCCGCATTGGGTTTCTACCCGATACACTAGTTCAATCTGAAATCAATAGATTCACACGTGAAAACGGAGTGAATATAAAAATTTATTTACTATTTATTTATGACTTTTAATCCATATTAAAATAATTATTATTAATATTATTTTAGTGATTACCAATCACATTATGTTGCTGTAAATGCAGTTTTTCGATGATGTTCATAATTAAATTTCACAAGTTCATTCATCTCTATTAAAGTATATTTTATATGACAGGATGCTTTAATATTTTTCAAAGTATCCTGATGTCATATTTTTAGTTTCTGGAACATCCCTCATCATTTTTTGACGTGTTGAAATTTTTTTTTATCATCCAATCGATGATTGTGTTGAAAGAAAGGACAGAAAAATAAATTGCTTCCATCAACTTTTTGTACATTTCAAGTTTTTATTCAATAAACTTCCGATAGTTTTTAATTCATGAATGTATAGAATTGATATTGCATTTCATGGTTCCAGACATGTTAAATAAAAAAAAGGGACTCTAGTAATCAAATAAGTGATGCTTTGGAAATCACAAAGTTAATATGAATCATAAAATAATTGTGTTATAAGATGTCATACAAACGACAACTATCCAAGGGTGCGGAACTGATCAAAATAATCAAAATTGATCAAAATCGAATTGATCAGTTCCACACCCTTAAAACTATTATGCCAATAGGTTACTTTAGTATTTTATATCTCTATCATTTCAGGACAAACATAAAATATTCAAGTCTAGGATAGTTTTGTATCATGAAGAACATATTTCTACTATTTATATTTGCTATCATTGTCAACGATGGACTATGCTTATCACTCGATCCAGGTAATTATTTTAAAAATTCATTCAGACAGCATTATGAAGCTCTTTTCGATTTCAAGGGCGCGGTCGAAATAAAATGAACTTTTATACAAATAATTCAAAAGAAACTCTATAAATTCAATTTGGATTTTCATTATGTTTGACAGTAGAAAGAAAAATAAAATCGTACATCACAGTCGTGAAAGAATTTTTGTAGATTGTGGCGCAATGTATTCACATTTAAGTCGTTAAGTCTGCATACATATCTCTTTATGCTGGCACATATGTATTTAACGTAGGTAGATTAGAGAGATGAAATAACATAAAAATATATCTAGTCAAAATGAAAAAAAAAATCATAAATTAACTCAATACTCCCATTGAATTGGGCCATTGAGAGATTTTTGTTTACGTTATTTTAAGAAAAAGTTTATAAAAATGACATTAGAATGAGGCTATAATTCTTATTTTCTTCTCTTCTTCATAAACAATATAGCATGCTATATCTTTATAGAAGTCATAATTAAATTGCTTAATACCCCACCTTGGATCACAAAGATGATTCTGAATTACACCGATGGCACTTTAATGTGCTTTAAATCAAACTTTTAATCTACCATTCTCATATGAGATTGCGGTTTATAGGGACTAGGTGTTTTTGATTAATGAACTTCTCTTGTTTGTCTAATTTGATAAGTACGAAACTTTAATGCTCAATGTATAAATACGCATTTCTCTTAATTACTCTACAAAGATTTTAATTTATTTAATGAAAATGTAGATTTATTTTCTTTAAAATTTTCATAATAATTGTCACTTTGAAGTAATGTGTAGTGACAAATCACGAAAAACTTCACATTCCAGTAAAACTCGGTTCAAAAAGGGCTGCGTAAATAAAACTTTCAATCTCAAGCAAACGAAGTTTTAATCATCCAGAGAGAAAGAAAGAAATGAGTTTTAATTAAAACTGCAAACAAATAAATAAATTACTGCCCGAAGGTTCCCTTATCATTTTATATTTTTATCTTGAGAAACGAATATTTATTAAATTGCTATGGCTGTTCAAAATGAAACGTAACCACAGGGCTTCATTTACTATTTCTACATTTTTGGTTGCCATTAAGGACCACTGAGTTATGCGAGTAAATTTTTGGAATTTTTTTTTCTTCCACATACTAGAGTAATTCCCCGTCAAACACGGGTATAGCTTGCAAATGAAAATGTTATGACATACGTCATTTATACAATGATGGTTTTTATATTTTTAGTATCTTAAATTGAGTCATCCCCTCAGAAAAACTTTTAATTCAGTAAAAGCTATTGTGTACGTTGTCTTATCAATGGGAGATGACAAAAAAATGCTCATTCTGTGTAGTAGTAGTAGGAGTAAACAGAAGAAAATAAAATATTTACAAAGGACAAAAATGTGACAAGACATTATTTTTGTGCTGAATGTAGAGATTTCATTAAATTGAATTAAAACATATTTTTATTAAATATAATTTGAGCACGAGATGGAATCAGTATAAAATTTATTTCGGGATTTCTTTCATATCTCTGAAACCGATGACTTTATAAAAGTTTCTCTGAACTGTACAGAAGACCATGATACGCGTCGGTTTTGATTAAATTCATATTTATAAACATCAAAAACACCAAAAAAAATCTTTTCATATTTTTCTCAATGCAAAATAAGTTACCTATTTTGTAAGCATGAAACCTTTTTTTTTTGATGAACAAAAATTAAAATCGTTTCTAAAATGAATGAAAAGCAGACCCATTTGTGAACTGAAAAAATCCCTAAAGCTGTGAATGCTTTTCTATGTCTAATTTTATTTTGTTTTCTTGAGATTCGTGTGATGGACATTAATTTTGCTTATTATCGCTTGTTATGTCTAATATTAATGAAAATTAAGAGGCGATGATGTTTCCTCTTCATATTTGTATTTTATTTATGATTTGTGAGAATTTTAAAAAGGTAAGATTAAAATCAAATTACCGTTGGCTTCTTAAAATGCCGTCAAAAACATGAACAAAAAATATTTGAACTAATCATTCATATCAGACGAGTTGTGTATTCAGGCTCCATAACAAAAAGCGAGGAAGATGTTAGGAGGTCGTTGTAGATTTTAAACTATTTTAAGATAAATAAATCTGTTGTTAAAATATATACGGTAGAAGATGCTCATTTTTTGTGCATCATCATGCATTCAACATCATATATTTTTCATAGAAGTGCATTTAGTACTCAACACATTTTCTTATCGTTGATTGTGAGAGCTTCTTAAGTGCTTGTATCACACATTACGGACGTGATAAATTACATAGATGTGTTATATACTTACGTATATTAAGAAGTACCCGCTTTATAATTTTGTGATTGAAAAGATTTTAATTTAATGATATACAGCTTAAAATATGTTCATATGAGATCTACTGTTTTGATCAGGTCAGTCGGTTATTGCTTCTCTTCCCTTTTTTGGAAATGGTTATTATTGCAAATGAGCCGAAATAAGCCTAGTCAGAAAATATGAATATAAAAAATTAATTTTATGAGTTCCTGCAGCATAAATTATGAAATTTAAATCATGACTTTATTGTTTTCTGTGCTGAAGGTTTCGTTTCATTAAAATCAAGCAAAATTAAATTAAATTTTGTTTTTAAGAAAACCAAAAATACCATATTTTGTATTCTGTAATTGTAAAATTAATAAAATTCCCACAGTGACAAACTATTGTGCTGGTTGAGGTGTAAGCAAACTCAACTTGTAAGCCTCTTATCTACATAATGTCATAAAATTTATTTCTTTGCATAACATCAAAATTTAATCTTGCTAATCCTTTACAAATGTCAAGAAAGAATGTTTTTTTAACTCAACATCACGCCCATATAAAAGTTTGAGAGAAAAATTGGCAGACTTAAAACTCGTGCCTTTATAGATTTGAGTTAGATATGTTCATCTGATACAAACTGTTCATATAAACATATTTAAATATCAATTTACATCTAAATGGATTTAAAGTTTTGATAAGCATTTTATTATTTTCCGCGATGCTTAATAGAAGCGCCACAAAAGCTATGATATTATAAATGTTGACGAATTTAAAAGCTGTTTAAAATACCATAACGGCAGTAAAAACTTTGAAATGTTTATCAAATGATTTATGATTAACTCTTGTCATAAAATTTTGCGTATGCTCGTCTTCAATTCGTAATTTATTAATTGCACGTTTAATGATTTACGAGTTTCCTCTTCATACCTATATGAAAATTTATTAATCCCTTTGTATATTAATCGATAATTTTTTTATACAATCCTGTATTCATTTATGTATATCTTCGTTAATCTGCATACGCAACGATAATGAAAAACGTAGTCGCTTCAACCGATCTAGAGCAGTATATTCGTGATGATTTTACAATTTCCCTTAGGCACATCAGGTGAGAAAGGCACATGAATAATGAATTGAATTTTTACTTTCACAAACAAAATTAATTACCTTAAAAAAAACATTTAATCAACAGACCTCGAAGAAAATTCAGAATTTCATTGGAAGCGCTCTTCATGATTGATTTTCCAATAATTAAAAACAAATTCACATTTTATCTCGATAGAAAAGGAAACCGAATTGTTATTGACATCAATTCAGATTCGAAAATCTTTTCAAAACATTTAAATCTTCCGTCACTTAATGAGACTGTGACAATACGTTCACTAGCATTCGCATTTGCAGATAATGTTTTAACAATATATGTGGACTGTCAAGATGTACTTAAAGAAGAATTAGAGTTTAATCTTTCAAGATTATTCTTAGATATGGAAGAACCAATGGTTAAGCTCTTTAGAGAAAGAAAATATCCACTGTACTTAGATAGTTCACCAGATGAAGCGATGTCAAGAGCAAGTTGCCAAAAAGGTACTCGACACAAATCAAATCATAAGATTGTCAAGGAGATGGATAAGAAAAAAAATTACGAAGGTTAGTAAGTTATTAAGACTAGCTTCACTTCATTATGATACAATATTTTACCTGGAATTAATAAAATTATGTTTTATGAATCCTTCATAGGATCTGAAAAAAATAGAAAGAGAGATGTTAGCCGTGATTATTTTCGTGGACAAGATACCAGAAATGATGTATTTAATGCTCCACCGGGACGTGGTGATATTCCGATAATGCATGGTGATTGTGATGGTAAGGAAATTAAAACATTTAAAAGCTTAAATATATTTTGATATTGAAATTTTTTACTTAAAATAGAGAACTTACTAAGAGGAATAAACGACTTAATAGCATTGATCAAGAAGCTTCAACAAGACATTGCTAATCAACATGCTGACATCAAACGCCTTCAATCACTCATTGAAAATTGTGCTGGTTGTCAAGAGCCACAGAATATACGACGAGATACTTGTCAATATGCAAATCCATGCTTCCCTGGTAAGTGGAATAAATAGAGAAAATTGATGAATCAACTAAGTGAGTTGAGTGGAGAGTGAGAAAAAAATTAATTTGCATTTAATTGAACTTGTTGTTATGATCATCAATTTAAATCTCATTATTTATGGTCATTTTTTGAATTTATCGAAAATAGGTGTGTCTTGTCACGATACTTCAACTGGAATGCGTTGTGGACGTTGCCCAAAAGGTTATATCGGTGATGGACGAACGTGTACACCCGGTTTGACTTGTGACGATAGACCCTGCTTTCAGTGAGTTTTGATTTTTTTTTATTGATATTTTATTCATTAAAGAGACAGATAAATAAATTAAATTCAAGACAGTCGAACCCAAAAGTGGTCTTAAACTCTATCGAGACTGAATTAACAAATAGAAATGAAAAGGAAGAGGAATTAAATTTTATTATTATTGATTCCTTACATAAAAAATAAAAATGTAAATGATAACAATAAGTCTCACAACAGTTAACAGTAAGCTGAAGGTTAAGAGCCCATTTAAACTAATGAAAAACAGATCAAAAAGGAGCGATAAAAATTTATTTGTAAAGGTATGACATCAGTATACAAATATACATATACCATTTATGACGTAATCTTCTTCTCTTTAACTGCTCGTAATTCATCATTCAACCATAAATTCAATGACTTTTAATGTACAATTAACATCATTTTCAAGACATTTTTACGATCCGATACTGAAAGAACGACATAAGTAAAGAAAGAGCGTGCGAAAGAAAAAAAACAAAGTTGTAAAGAATGAAAAATGAAACATGAAAAGTCCATTTTAATGATTCGATTGTTAACACTTTCTTCTTATTAGCTATCGTATTTTCAGCGAGAATATGTTTGCGTAATTTACACTAAGACCATCCCAACATTGTCGAGGACAAAATCATTATAAGAAGGAGAGACTGACAATATTACAAATAAACTCTTCTTTTATATCTTCTTGACTTTATATTTCATTTTACCTCTCATAAAAATGAGCATATACTCTATAAATGCAATATCTCGTCGATAATTCGATTGTGTAAAGGAGAAAGAAGCTTGTTAAAGAATCACATCATGTTTCGTCATTTATAGACGAGATAAATTGATGTAGGACAGCGTGATATACCCTGTAGCATTTAATGTCTCTTGTCTCCACAGAAGAATCATTTAATTATTCACTGTTTGTGTTCACTATTTAAAGGCGTAAGGTATGTCATGAAACATATCACATGGCAATAGACAAAATAGACAGTTGGGTTCATTACAAATAAAAATATAAGAATGAAGAGAAAAATAAATAAATAAATTAAAATAAAGTAGAAAGAAGAAAACGAAAGCCGGGATTAAGATAGGTTTTGATAGAATTAACGGCCATTATTACCCAACTGAGCAACAATCGGAGTAATAAATTATTCTCACATTCATATTGTCAAACCGAATGAGTTCTTTTATTTTATTTCTTTTATTGAACCCATGCTTGACGTTGTACTTTAATTTAATTCCTTCTGATTAAAATTTTCAAATATGTATCTTTTATGAATAATTCACTAATGTCAAGATTGTAATGTTACTTAGGCAGCAGTTCTTCCTCAATTTTTTTTTTGTAAATTAAATTTTATCTCAATTGTGACTTTTTCCTTTTAACTTTCTTTTCAATAATACCGTCATATTTACTGCTACAATTCACATTTTAACCATCATCGTTGTTATATGTGTACCTCGGCATTATGTGCGCAACATGATGTATGTTTTATTATTGTTCTTTTTCATAGTACACAAATCAAGTTCTCCCACACAGTTTTGCTTATTGCATTTTTTACTCGTATACGGTTTTCGATGTTTCTTTTCTCATTTTATTATTGTATTTTGATGTGATGTTTTTTAATGCAGCTTGAAAGTGCCACAGATATGAGAAAATATGATGCCAACAGATGGTATCGAAAAAATATACACTTTAATTTTCTTTTTCTTTTCAAATTCCCGTTTAACTTAAAATAGATTTGGTTTATTGGTCGCATTCAGACATTCCTTTAAAAAGGTAGACGCACACTTAGCTGTGATGGAATTCGATTTATTCAATTTAATGGTCAATATTCAGCATAATTTGTTGCATACTGTGTGTTTGTAAATTTATCTCTATTGCAATATATGGAAGTCGGGTTGTAAAAATTGTTTTATTGCATCAGATGCTTTATTTGGCCAATACTGTGGTTTTTAACCTTTTTACAGAGTATATGAAGTGGACTAATCAATTGTTTGCATTCTTTTCATCCACAATAATAATTATAAGTGGAACTACATACAATTGGCTATAATATATCGATTTATAAACTAAACAAAAGCATGAAAATAAGCACAATATTTGCTTGATATGTCGACTCCCTATTAGATTAAAAATGTATATTTGCTTTATAAGCAATGATGATGAAGAGAAGAAAACGCTTCAACCAACTGCATGAAATTGCTATCAAAAAGAGCTTCCCACACGTTCGACAGCATGAATAGCATACGGTTTGATGTGAAAAATTATTTGTATTCATTTTTATAAATAAAAAAGGGAAAGGCACAGTAAGTTTGATTTTGGGCTCTTTTTTCATGGCCCAAAACATGATTAAATTGTGCCTTTATATAATTTGAAACGCAGATAACAGGAAAAGGCTTGGGAAATATTCCAAAACATATCGCTAAAATAATACGAGATATTAAGTTAAACGTTTGCAAATAAATTTAATTTTAAGATAAAAATTTGTGTTGAACATCACATTAAAGACAAACTCATCTTCTTTCCCATATTTACTTTTCTGTTGAAATTCTTAGAGTTTACACCTCTCACTATTGAAAAAGCAACAGCAATAATAAAAGCGGTGTGTCTTTAGATGCAAAAAGATTATTCTCTTCATATTACATTTTATCGTTTGTTTCTCAAACGTTTGGCCCACCACTACGCGAAATGATGGCGCCGAATCTGTTAATTAAGTGTGACTTATTGTTTCTCGAACTAAAACAACATTTTTAATTTTTGCTTTTCCGTCTAGCGTTCGATTTTATAACTCTTATTTTGCAATCATGTAGGAAACTCAATTTAATCCATTAATTGCATGATTCTTCTTTTTTATTTGTTTTATATTCTACAGAGGAGTTCACTGTTCAGATACAGTAGCTGGCGCAGTTTGTGGTCCATGTCCATCAGGTAAAATACAATGTTTGAGTTCCAGATTAAATTTACAACATTTATATTAATAATTCTCACAGGATATGAAGGAGATGGGAAAGCATGTCAAGAAAGAAGAAAAGCTTGTGATGACCGACCTTGTTCTTCAGGTACAAAGAATTTCAATCATGTAGATAATTCAGTTTAAAACCATTACATCATATACTGAATCATACTTAGCAGAAATTTTTCAATTAAAAAGTCTATCTATCCTTTTTCTATACATTTTTACTTACAAAAGCATCGTAACTACTAACATGTGTATGTGTATACTGAAAACTTTATTTTAATTGAAGGACTAATTTTTGTTCTCGTTTTTCATGAAACTTTATATTTTAGAAAGAATATTGCTAAAACGTTTGCTTGTTAAAATACTTTTGAAATTTTCGATTGTTTAGTGAAACTTTTATTGAAATTAGATATTCATTTAAATGCTTTATAAATAAGCATAAAAACTTTCAAATAAAAGTTGATACTTCTTACATTTTGCGAATGTTTCACAAGTTTCTTTAATCAAATTTAGGTTCAATAATATAAAGTTTTAAGAGGGTTGTTAATAATTTATGTTATTTAATATTTGATATTATAAGAAACACGACTTATCCTCCTCCAATTTAGATAACAAGCAGCTTGATAATCTGCCAACATTCTTTCAAAAAAAAACATGAATACTTCGTCCTTACTCAAAAATAGAATGAGCGCTTTTGTCTTTCTTTCTTACATTCTTGTAAAATGAACTTCAAATTAAAGCTGGTGAATTTTTCTTTATATCCAGATTTTATTATAGATGAATTTTGCTTGATTATGAATCATAACAAACAGAATGATTTCCTTCTTCATTCTTACAAGCTTGCAATTTATTACTTCATAAAATAAAAAAAAAAAGTTTCAGTATTAGTTGAGATTTTCAATGATTTCCAGTGGATATTTGCAAGAAAATGCTGAAAATTCTCAATCATTAAAACTAATTTTTTTAACTGCATAATCATATTTACTCATGCTGTATTTCATAAGATATTTAATCTCATAAAAGTTCAATAATAAAATTCAATAAAATGAAAGTTAATAAAACTGAATGCTGTAAATTTAATTCTCTTTTCTATCGCTTTTCTTTTATAATTTCAATTTTGATCTGAAGTTTCCACTTTACTCGTTAATATCATGTTGATTCCTTTTCATCTTCTATCTGCATTAGGATTTCATCTAACAAAACATAATTGTGAATGTATGTGAATAAAACGGAATTAAATCATTGACAGATATTTCATAATACCTACTCAACCAATACATCCCTAATTTTACTAAATATCTCATTTCTGTTCCTAACATTAAAGGATAAACGAGCTTATGTTAAATAAAAGGAAAAGTCATTTCAGATATGTAGCATCAGACTTATGGAAATATTTAATCTCCTTTTGTATTTCTAATATGTCAAACTGCCTGATAAAAGACATTAGAAATCAAAAATAAAACCCTAAAGCATGAGAATCCAAGGAGTCAAATAAAAATTTATAAGATTATGACTTAAGTCTTCAAATTCTCTTGGATGCTTTTAGAAAAACACAGAAAATCTTTGCTACTGATATGGATGTGATACACAATACATTCGTTCGCACGTCTCATTTCTATGGTGATGCTTTTTTCTCTTTCTTATTTGTTTCATTTCATTCCTTTGTTGTGTATGATATGATTGAAATGTTTTCTTCAAAGCTTCATGTCTTGCGATTTAAACTTTTTTTTATATATTATCAAAGGTAAGTTTTGGTAGAAATCTTTTTATAGAATGTTTACCGTTTATTTGGCATCGCTCGCATATTTTGTAACGCTATGGCGGAAAGTGACTAATAGTCTTGTTAAATGTTTTGTATTATTCAAACAAGTCTGATTTCTTAATATCGCTTATTAGCAGAAGATACATAATATTTTTTGCGAAATACTCAAGTGCTTTCAGTTGCTTAGATTTTGATAAACAATTGAATGTAGGAAGTGTTCATTTTATGGAAAAATTAAGCACTCCGTAGCTACCAAATTTTATTTTTTTTTTGAGATAATTGAAATTGTGGGGGATTTATATCCATGGAAAAGCATTAAAATGCTAATTGAAAAAAACCATCAAAAAATTTACTAATTACTTAGGATTTCAAGAGGCAAAATAGCTTCATAGATCTTATATAAATTCAAAACAAACCTTTCCTTTCTTTTTATAGAAAAATAGAACCTTAAAGTATGTAATACAGAGGTCTATATGATTGATTAGTCAATAGGTATTTTTTATGTGTTCAATAAAATTCTTAATGCTCCCATACCCCATTTTAACGATTTGTTAGAGAGGGGAAAAAAAGATAGATGAGATACACAAAAAAGTATGTTCATTCTACAATTTATTAAATCATCAAAGTGAGAGTAAAAAATACCTGCCACATGTGAGTTTTGAGGATAAAATTGTAAATGTTTATACTTGTCTTTATTTCCTTGCTACACAAATAAAGCATTTTTACGATAACAAATTTTATTGTTCCTTTCTTACCACAATAAGAAATTAAATTATATTTCGTTTGGTCTGTAGATTTGACATGATTATCTTTTATAGATTCGTAATAAAAATATATAATTTTATCTTTTGAAATGCGGTAGTCATTGGTGCAATCCTTTCAATTAATACGAAAATTGGATGATTGCTTTCCATAAATAGATTTATTCATCATGTATACAAATGGAAATATCTAAACAATCTTTCATAGACCATTTTTTCCATTATGCATTTATTCAGAAAAATTACATTATGTTCAATTGTGCTCAAGTATTTGCGAGAAATAAGGATATTCATACATTTGAGGAGTGAAGCAGATGATGAGATTATTTTGTACAATAAGAATTTTCGTTCTGCATTAAAATGAACATCTTAATGTTTTAAGAAGAAGAAGAAAGATTAAATCGGATTTTCCTCTTATAGGTACTTAACAAAAATCTACGGAAAGTTCTTATTAGGTTCAATATTAATTTTTAATGCAAAAATAAGTAAAAACTTTAACACAAAGATCATTAAAAGATTAACTTTAACGCACAATGTGTTCAATCCAGCTGAAAGCTTTGGTGATGTAACATGAAGCAAACGACTTGTTGCTAATTTTGTATTTTGACGAATATTTGACCTTTTTTAAGTTTGAAAGTAAATTAGGTAGTTCCAATAATGATGAATTAAGTGAACAGTAATGCTTAAAAGTATGAGCTCTTTTTGTTGAATTCAATTAAATTAAATATGAATTTTTTAAGCTTTGTGTCATAAATTTATGGATTTAAGGAAAGAGAAAGTGGGATAGTCTACAGCAGAGCTCGAAGTCAATAGGGTTCGAGTCGACTCGAGTTGCTCGAGCTCTGGTCTACAGTTTAAAAATCTTGAATAAAATGTTATTATCTCAATTTGACTAATTTGCCATTTTAGCTCCAGCTTCGTTATGAAGTATTTAAACCTAAACACCGATGGCATTAATTAATCACTGAATAATGATGCAAAATATTTTTCTAAAATATAGGAAATATTTGTAAATCGTCAAAATATTATAACCGTTCCGATCATGCGAGACAAACTATAATTGTGTTTATTTTTGTACCCAGCAGCAAATGAGATGAAAAATTGGATTAATTTTAGTTTCCATTAATCTGATGTTGGATTAAAGAAACAAGAAGCACTCAGCTTTAAGCTTATGAATTAACATATTTCTATCAATCTACTGAGTTATTATGCATTTCAACTCATTAACTTGACATCTCCATGTTTCGTTTTCTTTCTTTTCTATCTTTTGTCATGATTATTTCTTTTGAAAAAGAAAATATTAACACTAAATTTATAAAAGAAATAAATGACTCCGAATGAATTTCAGGTGTTCAATGTCAAGAAATTAGAGAGCATCCGTATTATCGCTGTGGTTCATGCCCTGCTGGACAAACTGGAAATGGATCGTCGTGTCAAGATATTGATGAGGTGATAATGACACACATAATTCTTAAATGCATTTTAAATGAGATCAAGTTTTGATTGATTACAGTGTGACTTAATCGAGCCATGTGATCCAAGAGTACGATGTCAGAATTTGTCACCTGGTTTCCGTAAGATTATTTTAATTTACTTCTTAGAAACTAGAACGTGAGAATAATATTAAGATTAATAATAGGATGTGATCCATGTCCTTCTGGTTACCACGGCTATCATTCTCAGGGGCTTATAATGCAAACTGGAATTGACCATACATTCCAAAGACAACGTTGCGATGACATTGATGAATGTCGAGAAGGAGTTGCACGTTGTGGAACTAATTCACAATGTGTAAACACAGAGGGATCATATGAATGTACATGCTCAAGAGGTTTTGCAAGGAATGAAACATATGGTTGTCTTCAAGTCGCTGGCATGTGCCCCGATGGCACCATTTGTGATAGAAATGCTGTTTGTCAGCATGCTGGTGGAAATCGCTACAGGTATGCAAATCTCACTTTAAATGAAAAAAACTCTTCAGTCATTTTTCATGTTTTGAATTTAACAATCAAGATGCAAATGTAAAGTAGGTTGGGCTGGTGATGGATTATTCTGTGCAACTGATAAAGATTTAGATGGATGGCCAGATTATGATCTCGGTTGTTCTGATCCTCGCTGTCGAGCAGATAATTGTCCTAATATACCCAATTCAGGTAATGCAAACTTTCACTTTTAATTTGCTTCATTGTGTAAAATTGATTTTCATTTTTAGGTCAAGAAGATGCCGACGGAGACAGCTTGGGTGATGCTTGCGATCCTGACGCAGATAATGATGGAATATTAAATAGCCCTGTATGAAATATCAAATTTCCGCTCAATCACATTTATATTAAATTTGTAGCTTTCAGGATAATTGCCCATTAATTTATAATCCGGATCAAGCTGATACTGATGAAGATGGAGCAGACAGACAGGGTGATGCTTGCGATAACTGTCCTACCATAAAAAATCCGGATCAATCTGACGTCGATCGAGATGGTCTTGGAGATGCTTGTGATCCGGTAAGCTTCTTATTATTTTATTAATGCAACAATGGTCCAATTTATTTATTTTTTTCTTAAAAGGATATTGATAATGATGGAATTCTGAATGCTCAAGACAATTGCCCAAAAATAGCAAACAGCAATCAATTAGATTCTGATAATGACGGTCTCGGAGATGTTTGCGACAACTGTCCATTTATTCCAAATCCAAGTCAACAAGACACAGATAATGATTTAGTTGGTGATGCATGTGATTCGGGAGTAGATAAAGATAAAGATGGGGTTCAAGATAGCAAAGATAACTGTCCTAAAGTACCAAATTCAGACCAGTTGGATCACGATGGAGATGGGAAAGGAGATGCTTGCGACTCCGATATTGATAATGATGGAATTCCAAATGAACGCGATAATTGCATATTTTACTATAATCCAGGTATTAAAATTCCTTTCATGTTCATCAGCGATTTTGATGATAATCCTTTATTTTTAGATCAAAAGGATATGAATAATGATGGCATTGGTGATGTTTGTGAAGAAGATTTTGACGATGATAATGTACCCAATTATCTTGACAACTGTCCAAACAATTCAAAAATATTCTCAACTGATTTCAGGACATATCAAGTAATTAAAATGCTAACCCAAATTAATTAAGCAAATTTTTTACGATTTTTACTCTTTTAAGACTGTCGTTCTTGACCCTGAGGGTGAATCACAAATTGATCCTAATTGGATTATTTATAACAAGGGTGCAGAAATTGTCCAGACACAAAATTCAGATCCTGGTCTTGCCGTTGGATATCATGCATTCGGAGGTGTTGATTTCGAAGGAACTTTTTTCGTTGATACTGAGATTGATGATGATTATGTTGGCTTTATATTCTCATACCAAGACAATCACAAATTTTACACTGTTATGTGGAAAAAGAACATCCAAACTTACTGGCAAGCTACTCCATTTAGAGCATCAGCAGAGCCAGGAATACAACTTAAACTTGTCAATAGTAAAACAGGTCCGGGTGAAATGTTGAGAAATAGTTTATGGCATACTGGAGATACAAAGGATCAAGTAAAATTACTCTGGAAAGACCCAAGAAATGTTGGGTGGAAAGAACGAACTGCATATCGTTGGTTGTTATTACATCGTCCAAAAATCGGTCTCATAAGACTAAGAATATTTGATGGAGAAAATATGGTAGCAGATTCTGGAAACATTTATGACTCAACACTAAAGGGAGGAAGACTTGGCGTCTTCTGTTTCTCACAAGAAATGATTATTTGGTCAGATTTAGTTTATCGTTGTAATGGTAAGTTGTTCCAACTGTCTAATGTTTTTTTTTTGAATCTTGTAAGCACCATCTATCGGACGATAATTTGAAATTTCTAAAACACGTTAATATTTTTTTCAGACAATGTTCCTGAAACAATCTACCGTGAATTACCTCAACGCTTGCAAAAAGAAGTCCACATCGATTACAGAATATAAAGTGTCAAATAAATAGCTTTAGTCATTTATGCTAACCAAAAAAATAAACTATTCTATTCTCGTCTTTTCAATGCCACAAATACATACTAATTTTTAAAATTGTTACAAACTGTTGAGTTTCAAATAAGAAATTATTAATAAAATTGTTTAAACTGCTATCTTTGGTAAATAATTTCGGGGCTTAGTTATTATTTATATAGATTCGTAATGTTGATATCATCGAAGTTGCTTTTCAATCTCTTCTGCAGTTTTGTTCTTTGTTTCAGGAACAAATGCAATAACGAAAATCATTCCCATGAAGGTGATTAAACAGAATATAAACATGCATCCATGCAGTTGGAAAATCTCAACAGCTGTAGGGAAAAATCGAAGGAGAAGAAATGCAACAAACCATAAAATACCTGTACAAAATGAAACGCCAAAGCTTCGAATCTGTTGAAAAGAAAGCAAACATAAATTAAGAAAATATTTACAAATCGAAAATGGAGATGTTCTTACTCTCAACGGAAGCAATTCAGATAGCATTATAAAGGTTAATGGTAAAATACCAAGAGATGCGGCAAAAATTACTAACGACATGCTTGCAATCGGAATCCAATCAAATTGTGTAATGTCGAGAAATCCTTTTAATAATCCATGAATTCCGAAAGCTAATAACCCTAGCATTGTTGTACAGCATGAAGTAGAATATAAAAGCTTTCTTGAAATTTTTTCTGTTAGAAATACAGATGCGCCTGAACCGATTAATTGGATGACTGCAACTATAATTGCTGATAAACTTGGACTTAAAGTTGAACCAGATTTCAAAAAGATATCAGATGTGTAATTGATAAATGCAAAGCATCCACAAAGCTGATTAACAAGAACAAGTACAATGCCAAAGAATAAAGCCTTCTGTGCTGATCGAAGTTCTACAAGGAAATTGAATTCAATTAATTTAATAAGAATTAATATTTGTTGGAAATAACATTACTAAGCTCATTCACAAGCAATGAAGACTTTTTAGTGTTTTCGTTCTCCTCAACCTTCTTCGCTATCTGCAGAATTTCAGATTTAATAACTTCAGGCGTTTGTTCAATTGCTCGACATCCACGCAAAAATTTCAAAGAATTTTCTGCTTTCTTATTTTTTCCACATTTTAATAAGTAGTAAGGCGTTTCGGGAAAAAAGAGAAAGATGATTGCAAATGAAACAGGAAGCACGATGTTTGCTTTTGATGTAAGATTATAGCTCATGTAATTTCCGACAATGAAAATGAGCAGTGTCCCGAAGTTAATAGATAGTAGAAAGAAGGAATTTAAGGTTCCTCGAATATTAGAATTAGATATCTCAGAAATGTAGACCGGAATTAAAGCAAATGTTCCTCCCATGCATAAACCAGCCAGAAGTCTAGCAATATATAGATGTTCGACAAGTGAAGCATAAATTATACACAGCCAAGAAATCTATTCAGTCATAAATTATTAATGGTCAAATTGATTCGAATTTTAATGGCATCAATAAACTTACAATTTGTGGTAAAGCAGTCAGCCATAAAATCCAAAATCTTCCAAACTTTTCGGACAACCACGCAAATAAAAATGTCCCTATTAAAGCTCCTAAAGGAAGTAATCCTCCTAGCCATGATAATTCATCTGAATTTAATGTTCGATCTAATGTCGTTTCTTGTGACTGAAGGAATGAGATAGAAGGGGATACCCATCCAATAGAGGCACCAACACTCATTGCTAAAATATTTACTGAAATTTATTCAAAATTAATTTGGTGCTTTTTTTTATAGAAAATGTAAATCAACCTGACAAAGCAGCATAGACTTGATTTTTTGCATTTATTTTTGTCGTTTCCTTAGTGCTAAATCTTTCCCGATTTATCCTTTCACAATCCTCAAATCGAACCACTTTTCCATGAAACTGCATATTTGCAGCATTTTCTACTAAGTCGTCTTTTCCTCTCCATATTTTCGTAAAATGTTTCAATAAAACAAACTTCATTTGGGAACAAAAAATTGAATTACTTCACTTAGCAGCGCACAAGCAACTGACCACTGAAAATAATTTTTTAATTACCTACTCTTTTATTATTTTAAAATTCTATTGAGAGATCAACGATAGAAAAACTAATTGTTAATAACGCATACGGCAATAATATCACAGACAAAATGTTCTGTAATTATCTCTCAGCTGAGAGCATGTTCGATTTAAAGAAATAAATACATAACGAAAATAAAAATAATAACAAGCACAACTCAAACGTGAATGATAATAATTTCAACGATCAAGTTCATTGCTAATGCCTCAATATTACGCGATAAATAGTCGAGTTATTATTTTTGAATGAATTGCACTTCAACAATCGATTTGAATTGGAATTAGGGGTCGATTCCCAGTGATGTATATCTACTTGACTAGTGTGAGCTGTGGACTAAACACCTTTTCATTATTTGTAGCTGTTACACCAGCCAGATTGTGGGATCTCATATTTTGATTTTGACATCATTTAAGAACGTCCCCTGAATGCGTTGGTAACATTTTTGACAGAATATTAAAGTAATTTTAATGCTTTATTGCAACTTGTATTTGAACTTTATTGTTTTAAAATATATTTTTCACAATCATAACTCATAATAAAAACGTATATCTTTTGAAAATTAAATCTATTCTTTTAATACCATTGGTAACACAACTAGTGGTTCATTTGTTTTGGGATTATCCTTATATATGCTCCATGTTTTTGCTTTCAAGTCAAAAATTCCAACACAAATTGTCTTTAAAAATTCTTCAACTCCAGCATTATCTCTAAACACTTGATTGTCTTTTGCTCCTGTATCACCAAGCATTTTAATCACATCCTCTTTTGACTTTGGTTTGTTAAATTTTTGGAATGTATCCATTCTTTCAATTGATGAATCAATGATGAGACCTGTAACTTCTGGAACTTTTAATCTCAGATATTTATTACAATGCATTATGCATTCGCCAGGACTGACTGTGAGAATGTTTAACTGAGATTCTTTGTTGTTGTCAATTGCAGGTCCCATTTCAGCATTATGGAATACACGGTCACCTTCTTGTCTATGTTTTTTAAAAACACTCAATGAGTAAGATTAAAAATAAAAGAATAAAGGCTTACTTCAAGAAAGTCATATTAATAGAACATCCATCAGCAGCTCCAACACCAGTATCTCGTAAAATTTGCTGAGCTTGGTAGAAGTTCTCAGCCGATAATAAAGCTCTTGTTATGAAATGACGAGCTATGAAGAATAAAAATTCTGCTTTATCGACAGATCGATAGCTAGTGATTGATTTAAAAATACTTACGTGTTTTGCCGCTATTAAGTTTTCGTGCACTTAAGGTGTTGATTGAAAAACTGAAAACAAAAGTGATGATTACTTTAAAGTGTCTGCAATTTTAGTGTCTAGACTTACACAAGACCGTGATGATTATAATTCATTGTGTATCCTGGCAAATGTCCTGCGTAGCATAGCGACGTGAATCTTTCTTCCTTCACTTTATACTTGCCTTGTGGGTCTGTACTAATAATGTGGGCAGATACAAAATAATAATTGTTTAAATTTTCCGATAATGCATCTTCCGTATGTCCAATGACTTCCTAATTATACAAAAAAAATTACATCGATTAATTACTTAAACAGAATTATGAATAATTTCGAAGCCTTACACTGTCAGGTTCATTGACGCAAATTGATGAACAACCGATTGGAGCATCGATTGAATTGTTATTGTCAACAACATTCGGAAGTATTTCATCCATATGTAGCAAAAAGAGCTGTTAATTAATGAGAGTTGAAAAATTGTGTCACTAATTGATTTTCAAATTATTATCCAGACACTTAATAATCATGAAGTGTCAATCGGTATTAAAAGTTTATTATTTCAAAATATTTAATTACTTGGAATGCAATTCAGTATGATACTTAATGACTCTTTTAATGGAGCTGGCTCATATAAATTAAATTTCTATTGCGTGCAATTTTTACCTTGTAAAATTCCACCTGTGCTCCATCGGATATTCCTTGCAGTTCATCAATATACTGAGGAAAAGATTGTTTCACTGTTGCTAATGTTTCATTATACACAGTCTCTAAATTTATGGAAGGATACATTTCATCAATTTCTCATAATTCTTTTATTAATTATAATTGTCACTTACGTCCTTGTGGTGAGTTGTAAAGTGGAATGAAGGCTTCATTTAATGGCTTAAAAACATTGACGAATTCTCGAATCAGAGCAGCGAAAGTACGGCCCTATAGAAAATTAATTAAGTTATTAATGAACTGATTGCATTGTAAATTAATTAAAAAGCAAATCAATCACGTGGATTTCCTGTCTTAAAAATGTAAATTCACACAATGTTTTCTATTTTGATCAAGAATGTATTCTAGATATCAATCTTCAGAATTAATTATTGAAACAAAGTTTCTCTCTTCCAGGAAAACACAAGTTTGGTTGTAGATAATTAGTGGCTTGTGGTTACACTTAATCAGGCAGTTATATTTTAATTTATATTAGGTACCAAAAAATGTTTTAAATGCCTTGTTAACATTTCTCCGCAAACTTAAAATTTGTTCAGATTAATCGATTTAATTTCATGATGTGGAATTTACAAGTTTACATTGCATATAATAAGGTAGGAAAATGTCAAGATAGCTTAATTACTACAATTAAATTTTTTATTAAGATTTCATGTCTGATAAATTTAGCGACAAAAAAGCTATACACAAGAGTATCATCAAATCAACTCATTTCCTTAGAGATTTCCTCAGAAATAAATTCTTTTGGACGATTTTGAATGTCGTGTTGTCTGTGGTTTTCAATGTTATTACCAATCGGTCACCTTGCACTTAAACTCTGTCTTTAAACTGCTCATATCACTTTGTATTTATTTAGCTTTCGAGTACTCAATATGACAGCTTTTGCTTATTTGGACTCGATGATTGAAAATATCAGAAACTAATTAAATGCTTAATTAAAATCACGTGAATGCTCCTTTTGCAATCATGCCGAATGGTCATATCTGTTTTTTGTTTGATTAAAGTCAACAACAGTGTAGTTAGCAACGGAAGGTTTTTATGCTGGTTTTTCGTTTCAGAATACTTAATTAACCACTATGAAGTTGGTGATATCTTTTCCTAATTTGGCAAATAATTAAAGCAGAATTCTTATTTAATATTTATGTGCATTGAAAGAATTAAGAACATTCAAGCTACATATCTTACTATGCTTGACATGGATATTAATCAATGTTATGATGAATCAACACATTATGGCATTTAAATTGTGAATATTTTAAGCGAGAGTTTATTTTAAAATTCTTTATCTCGAATGGATTTTTAGAGACGGTGAGAATTTAGTGATCTGAAGACAAATTTATCACTCAAACAAAACGAGTATAAACAGATGATAAAGTATTACTCATTTCTTTAGACGATCTTTCAAGTTCATCTTCTTTTTAAGCATACAAAACTTAATTTACATTTTAAACCAGAATTTGTATCGAAACAATCCATGGATTGGCATGCATCCAAACTTTCATTACTAAATTTAGAGCATCTTGCGCTTATTTTCATTCTAAATTCATTTCATTTTCACTGAATATTCACTTTCGTTTAAAACTCATAAAATAAAACACTTACCACATCAAAACCAACTTCGTAATGAGTACCGCGAACGTAAATTATCGGAATCGCTTGTCGACGTTCATACATATTGTAAACCTTTCGTGATGATGTTGTTGACATTTTTTATTTTTTAAATAAATTTGAACTTTTTATCATAAATTTTTTTAACTTTTTTATACAAGTATAATTAATACTTAGGAATACACACACGATCACAGTTTTGTTTTACTACTGAAAGAACTCTTTTATACGTCTTTATAGAATGAGTTATAAACACGAACTGAAGTTTGTATGCAAAAATTATTGTAACTTATATATAACTTCTCACTCACAATGCTTCTAATCAGATTAAAATTGAAGTATTGTAGAAGGAACTGATGAATTTTTTTACGCTAATTACGTGACAAACAATGGATTAATTATTTTTATTACACAAAATATCAGAAAATCTGATTGATTTTTTTGAATATGCAAGTGAAAATGTCCGATGAAGATAATTTTCGGGGATGTCCACAATACCGACAACTATGAATGAAAAACGTCACTATCGTACAAAAATCCTTAGCTCTAATTTTCATTTCGATTCAGCATAATTGGATTTTGAATTCTCACATGCTTACATAAAATTTATTTATGTAATGTGGATGGTACACTTTTTTTATATCGAGACTGTCACTTACTTAATCAATCGATTTTTAAAGCTTTAAATAAAATTATAAAAAAACTTTTGAATTGGAACTATTTCATTCATAAATTCCCATGGATACAATAACGTAAACAAAACTTACACATTAATATGAGTTAACTCTAAGAGTGGTGTTGGGAATATTTGATAAGAATTTCTAGGTTACCAATTTTTATCTTCATCAGTCTGGTTGAGTATGCTATGTTTGTACGTATGTCTGTAATTATATCAATACAAAAGTCTGGAAACATGAACGTACTTTATCATGTTTGAAAAGCATTCATAAAACAGGAAAAGTTATTACTATAAAATGAGATTTTGATGTTCTTGTGGATGATGTTCGCAGCTTTGGAAATACAGAAACGTAAAATCTTCTAAGGCTCACAAATTACGTTTAAAATCACATTGTCATTGCCTTGCAGTCACGTGGCATCGAAAAATCTTGATCCAAAAGTTAAACATTTAAATCCCCTAAAGCTCCTACTTTTTACCTTTAAAATTATTAATCCGGTTATGTATTTGTGGGAACTTTGTGATTAAATGGAATTCAATTTTAAACATTGTGGTTTCAATTAGATTTTTTAAAATCCATTTCATGTAGTACACATCTTATCCAGCAAGTTTGTCTTGCTTTAAAACTGACACAATATTAGAAAAGCTTGTTAACAATAAACGAGAAAAAAGTAAAAATAAACCTTATCGCACATTGTTCACTTCTCCACAAAACAAACTTGAATTGTTGTGTGATATGAGGATTTACAATTGTGTTGAATATAATCATTAAATACTCAATTGATTAGAAAGTCGATTCCAAAGCAATTGTGTAATTTATTCAGTCTCACGAATTGTCCTTGCCATTTGTTCTTAAATTTCTTTAAAATATATTGACATGCAAAACTCTTATTCATATATGCACCTGACAACATGTATGAATAAATTAATTAGAAATACGGGAGACAAAAACATCTGGTGCATGAATTGCATAGTCAATAAGTCAGCCCTAATAGAGTTTGTCGAGGGGTCCAGTCACTAATGACATCCAGCTTTACATTGAAGATAGTTGAGCAGACAAACTTTAAAAAAATTAAGCCAATAAGGAAAATATGACAAAGAAAGAAAAGGCAATTTAGTGCCTTGCTGGTCGAATAGGTAAGGCGCTTGGCTCAAATTTGGGATGGTAACTCGAAGGTCGTCGGTTCGAATCCAGTCATTTCCAAATTTGTTCTTTTTCGGAAGTTTAGATACTTCAACTGCTTAATGTAGGTGATCAAGCCACAATTGGGCATTTGGGCAACGTTGGATTAAGGAACGGGTCAGGAACTTGAAGTGTAGCGGGAGAAATAGGAACGAGAGCTACAAGATTACCCACGAATGGAATATTGTTAGAACGGACCTGAAAAGTATCACGTCACGCCTACAAAAGATCGAAACGAGTGAATTAGTTTATTTGAAACCTAGATTTGAAGATTAGAAGTTTGATCCTATATAATATTAATTCATATGTATACAAATACAAAAGTGTAAAATGTGAATTATTACCGGACAGTATGTCGTCAATAAATGCAATAAAGTGCAATTAAAATGAGTGAAAAATATCATTCTTTGTAAGACGTCATAAGTGAATGAACCCAAAAGCAAACAACAGCACAATAATTGCAATTTCGTGCATGTAATCGAACAAAAAAGATATCGAGATGCAGGAAAGATGCTTATGACATTTTTTACATTTTTGAATTTAAAAAACATCAAGGTTGTCGGTAAAATAGTACTTTATTCATAATCGATTGTAGTAAATCATACTAGACATGTCTTGCTCATGAATCAAATTTTTTTACCTATTTATTAAGTCTTAATTAAGCAGATAAAATTAATTGTTTTTGCAAATTTTTAACACTAGAGAAATAAAATTGTTGGTTAAATTTGTAGTTCATTCTTCCTCCCGCAACAAATCATTGACACAAGTAGTGAATTTAATTCTTGTTACTGAGTACATAACAAACTATGCATAATTGTGGTTAGTGGTATTAGCTTCTCAGCGGCCTAATTTATTCAAAATAACTTGATCATCAAATATAATTTATATATATTTTTTTCTTCTAAAGGCTTTAAAATTTTACTTACATTAAATACATGTTTATGAATAAAAATGAAAGAAAGCAGAACCTTTCGTGCTTTGCTTCTAAAGATATATATATATATAAATATTAAAAGTATCAATCAATATAGCCAACAAAATCTGCTTTTTAAGCAACACATTGAAAAAAACTCAACAATCAATATTATTGCATTTCTAATGTACTTTTTAAAGGCATATAATATATGGCAAGTAAGTAAATGCATGTTAAAAGAATTCAAGGATATGCCCTTTGATAAGAAAATGACGTCAAAACGATATTGCATGGCTTAGTGACATATTTTCATTTTTCAATGAAACAAAAAATGCATATCAACTCGTGACAAGCCATAAACAATTTATAGATCTTTATAGCGATTAAATATATTAAGCCATAAGAAACATTATTATTTGCTTCTCACGGCTTAGTGTAATCTAGTTTGATTTGTTAAAATCAGGAAAAGTAAGCTACTCAGAAAGAGTTTGTGTCTTCTACTCATTGGCAGTTGTTGCAGATGAACAAGAGATTGATCTAGTGAGGGCTCTCTTTGCTGTATGCATGTGATGATGATGGTGATGTTGCTGCTGATGATGATGATGTCGATTTTGGTGACATTTATTAAGACACTCTCCTTCTGAGTTGGCGCGATGTTATTTAGCCAAGAGTGACTTTTTTATAGGTGGCAGTGATGAGCATGAATGCCCAGTTTGTGAGCTCATTCCAATTGATGGGCATAGGGTTAATGATGTCGCAGCCGTTGATGATGCCAGAGGAGTATGATTGTGAATATTTCGTCGCACTGAGAGAGATTTCTTCTGACGAGAAATGTCCTTGCGTAACTCTGACAATTTCTTCTCCATTTCTTTCTTGCGCTGTAAGGGATAACATCAGTTAGTATTGAGTTCCAAAAAAAAATAACAAGATTAAGGATGTCTTACCTTAACTTCACTCTCCAATTTATCTTGTACAATGTAAATTTTCTTACGTAAATCTACAATACTTTTGATTAAGCGCTCAGATGTATTCTTCAGGTTTGCCTGACAAGAAAGATCCTTAATTGTCGCCAGGTATTTCGAATGTTTTTGAAACGAGATGAATGCATGCGTGAACGAATGATTGAATGTGCTTTTTATGAATTGCATTGGAATGAGATGACTTTCCATGACATTATCTTACCATTGCTGATGGTCGATTACAGGTTGGTGCTGATGTCTGAGTACAACTAGACATGGCAGCAGACTTCTTTGGGCAAGAATCTTGTTGTCTTCCCATGCATGGACGATGTCTCGTACATCCTTCCAGATGCCATGTAATGTGCTCTATTTGATGTAATATGTGAGCATGTTCCTTACATAACTCTTGGCCATGACTTTCTAATTCATTTAAATATCGTTTTCTACTCGAGTCAAACTGAAAGGTAGATTGTAATTTATTATTACGGAATCAAAACTTCTTATGAAATAGAATATCCGTTTAAGTATACAAGTAAATTGAGCACGCTGTTCAGTTGAAGTGAATTCTAATTAGCAAAAACTTTGCTTTCATCCAGAAAATATTAAAGCATATCTGGGTCAAAGACATTTATTCCAAAACTAGTGTATCGGGTAGAAACCCAATGCGGATTATATTCACACCGTACTATCATAAGTCTTATGAATAGACCAAGATTTGCCCATCATAAGTATGAAGGTATGAAGCTTGATAAGTCAACTAAGCTTCGCTCAGCATAAGTTTGAAGTTATAAAGCTATCGCGTAAGCTGAGCTACGCTCAGCATAAGTTTGAAGATATGAAGCTAGAGAGGCAGCTGAGCTTCGCTCAGCATAAGATTGAAGTTATAAAGCTATCGCGTAAGCTGAGCTACGCTCAGCATAAGTTTGAAGATATAAAGCTAGAGTGTCAGCTGAGCTACGCTCAGCATAAGTTTGAAGATATGAAGCTAGAGAGGCAGTGGAGCTTCGCTCAGCATAAGTTTAAAGATATAAAGCTAGAGTGTCAGCTGAGCTACGCTCAGCATAAGTTTGAAGATATGAAATTAGAGAGGCAGTGGAGCTTCGCTCAGCATAAGTTGAAGTTATAAAGCTATCGCGTAAGCTGAGCTACGCTCAGCATAAGTTTGAAGATATAAAGCTATCGAGTCAGCTGAGCTACGCTCAGCATAAGTTTGAAGGTATAAAGCTTGACGAATATGCCAAATATTCTTTAAAAGTTTTTTAAAAAAAATTTTCATCCAAAGTTGAATTTTATAAAAATCACAGTCAACTTTTGTTTTAAAAAATTCGTAAGAAAGGAAAGTTTTTTGCCATTTCTGAAGCAACGGCTGTTCCTATCTTGCCCAAAAACAATACAGCTCTTCTATAGAGTAGCACGGATCAAATGTAAAAAACTAGAAGTCTCTACGATGTCTCGTTATTGAGATTTCTTGCTGATTAACTTGCTTGCTTGCTTGCTTGTTTGCTTACAGAAAGCGTATTTTGCGATTTTCTCAGCAATGCCACAACCAATTTGAAATCTGTTTTTTGAAAATGATGTAAAATTTCAGGCACAAACTTTTCTTCTTGCCCTTTTATAACCAATTTTGCTTTGTTTTCTCACAAAATGCGAAAAACTGATTTTTCAATCTGAACAAAACCAATAGATTCACACGTGAAAACGGTGTGAATATAATAAAAGGAGACAGAAACATTATTTTCTATGCTCTAATTTTTATTATTTGGTTGAGAAGGGAACTAAACAATAAAAAAAAGTTTTAGGAGCACAAGTTAAGGGAGATTTACCTTTTCTTTTCTGTCAGTTTCATCTGTTTGAATCTGATTAAATTTTATGTGAAGATGATTATAATTGGATTCAATCTCATGACGTTCCTTAAGTACAATGTTGATGCTACTCAGGATATTTATTTCTTTTAAACGAATGCATAGAAAGAAGTTAATATTTAATTTAATAAAAATAGAACATCCATTAGACTATTATTGATCATGTCTTACTTTCCTCATTTGTGTGGATACGATCTTTAATATCACATAAATTTGCTGGCGAAATCATCGTTAAATATCTATTAATATAATACAAAAATCAATAATCGACAGTGTATACACAATGGTCTAAAGAGAATCAATTTATTTATATGCAAATTTTCACTATAGAATTTATAAATATTCAATAAACGGAAGAAAACTATCTTCTAGATCATTAGCTCTACAAAAAATCACTTAGCGTCGATAATTTTTCAAATATTAACACAACAATTATAACAGAGTTTTAATAAAGAGAACAAAGCAAATGTGAAACCCGTCGAGTCATTCACAAATTGTACGCGAAACTAAAAATGAGCCAAAACATGAAATTCCAATAGCGTCGAATTTCACTTCGTCAAAAACTTTTATTTCAAAAGAAACTCATTTTTTTGGGGGTGCGTGCCTAGATTTTGTGATGTGTTCCTTCCTAGACAGCTTTGACGCTTTTAAAATTTTGGACGAATTAAAATTACTCAACAGCCTCAGGAGCTATCTGAGGACCATCAATTCATCTTTATTTGAGGACCAAATTTTCAAGGAACGCTTAGACAACAAAAGGTGTTACACAGTCTGCAGAAGGCCCACATCATAGGCAGGAATACAGCAAAACATAAATATTTCTACACAATAATATATATTAAGCAAGGATGTTTGCTTGTATTTACAATCAGATCTAAAAGGAAAAGGAATATCAGACAGAGACAGGGTGCTTCTTGCATGAAATAGATAGATATGTTTTATCGAATGCCACAAAGTGATATTCGTACTTTTTTCCTTTTTTTTCTATTGTAAAGTTGCAAGCATACCTACATACTAAACATAAATAACTATACATTGTAAGTCACGACTATTTTTTTCATACCTGTAAATTTTCTTTTGACATTTACTTTTAAAGTTGAATTTGTAAATATAGGAAAAAGTTGTCTTAAGGTATAATGTAATACAATATTGCCCAATTGTCATGGTGCCGACAAAATAATAAAATAAACAATTCATAGAAATTCAATAAAAGGATCATGAATAGTTTTCTTATTTTCTTCTTGTTCAGATATTTTCATAATTTTTCTGATAAAACACAGACATCGTGCCTATTTATAAAGATAAGAAGTAATTGATATTTGAAGCATGGCAATAATCAAGGCAGTTGACATGTGCTCTGCACTTTTTTTTATATTCTAACCGTTTCCACGTGTGAATCTATTGGTTTTGTTCAGATTGAAAAATCAGTTTTTTAAATTTTGTGAGGATATGGAGCAAGATAGCTTAAATTGTTCAGAAATGAAAAGTTTGTGCCTTGAATTTCACATCTTTTGCAAAAAACAGATTTCAAATTGGTTGGGGCATTGCTAAAAAAATCGCAAAATATGCTTTCTGTAAGCAAGCAAACAAGCAAGTTAATCAGCAAGGAATCTCAACAACGAGACATTGTAGAGACTTCTAGTTTTTGCATTTGATCCGTGCTGCTCTATAGAAAAGCTGTATTGTTTTTAGGCAAGGTAGGAACAGCCGTTGCTTCAGCAAAAAAAGCAAAAAGCTTTCCATTCTTACGAATTTTTCAAATTAAAAGTTCACTGTGTTTTTTTTTAAATTAAACTTTGGATGAAAAAATTTTTTTTGAGCAAAGAACCAAGAAGGAAATACATTTTTAACTTTGGACTAGGGGCGACCCTAGTCAAAATCAATTTTGTCACTTTTTTCTTCGAGGGTTTATAAAAATGGATTGAAACTTTGCATAAATATTCTAATGCTTAAAACAAAAACAAATCAAACATCTTAAAATTTTTTTGAGCAAAGAACCAAGTAGGAAATACATTTTCAATTTTAAACTAGGGGTGACCCTAGTCAAAATCAATTTTGTGATTTTTTTCTTCGAGGGTTTATCCAAATGGATTGAAACTTTGTGTGAGTATACTAATATTTATACAAAACAGTTTTAAATATCTAAAGCAAGAAATGTATTCTATATGTCGTCAGACCCAAATTTTATAAATTTGGTTGTAAATTCAAAAACAACGTGACTTAAAATTTTATCCAAAAAAATGATTTTTATTAATTCAGAAATGTGTGACCTGAAGATTAGAATGTTTATACAAAGTTTTACTGTATTTGGATTTATCCTCGAAGATAAAAAGTGAAAAACTAGATTTTGACTAGACCTGTCCCTAGTCCAAAATTGAAAATGTATTTCATACTTGGTACTATGCACAAAAAAATTTTAGAATGTTTTATTTGTATTTGTTTTAAGCACTAGAATATTTATGCAAAGTTTCAATCCATTTGTATAAACCCTCGAAGAAAAAAGTGACAAATTGATTTTGAATGGGGTCGCCCCTAGTCCAAAATTGAAAATTTATTTCCTTCTTGGTTTTTTGCTCAAAAAATTTTAGGATATTTTATTTGTATTTGTTTTAAACACTAGAATATTTATGCAAAGTTTCAATCCATTTGGATAAACCTTTGAAAAAAAAAATGAAAAACTAGATTTTGACTAGACCTGTTCCAAGTTCATAATTCATAATAAAAATTTAATCCATTTGGATAAACCCTCGAAGAAAAAAATGACAAAATTGATTTTGACTAGAGTCGCCCCTAGTCCAAAATTGAAAATGTATTTCCTTCATGGTTCTTTGCTCAAAAAAATTTTAGGATGTTTAATTTGTATTTGTTTTAAGTGCTAAAATTATAATGCAAAGTTTTAATCCATTTGGATAAACCCTCGAAGAAAAAAGTGACAAATTGATTTTGACTGGGGTCGCCCATTGTCTAAAATTGAAAATGTATTTCCATCTTGGTTCTTTGCTCAAAAAATTTTTGGATGTTTTATTTGTATTTGTTTTAAGCATTAGAATATTTATGCAAAGTTTCAATCCATTTGGATAAACCTTCGAAAAAAAAATGAAAAACTAGATTTTGACTAGACTTGTCCCAAGTTCATAATTGAAAATGTATTTCCTTCTTGGTTCTTTGCTCAAAAAAATTTTAAGATGTTTTATTTGTATTTGTTTTAAGCACTTGAATATTTATGCAAAGCTTCAATCCATTTGTATAAACCCTCGAAGAAAAAAGTGACAAATTGATTTCGACTAGGGTCGCCCCTAGTCCAAAATTGAAAATGTATTTCCTACTTGGCTCTTCGCTCAAAAAAATTTTGGGATGTTTTATTTGTATTTGTTTTAAGCATTTAAATATTAATGCAAAGTTTCAATCCATTTGGATAAACCCTCAAAGAAAAAAGTGACAAAATTGATTTTGACTAGGGTCACCCCTAATCCAAAATTGAAAATGTATTTCCTACTTGCTTCTTTGCTCAAAAAAATTTTTGGATGTTTTATTTGTATTTGTTTTAAGCACTTGAATATTAATGCAAAGTTTCAATCCATTTGTATAAACCCTCGAAGAAAAAAGTGACAAATTGATTTCGACTAGGGTCGCCCCTGGTCCAAAATTGAAAATGTATTTCCTACTTGGTTCTTTGCTCAAAAAAATTTTGGGATGTTTTATTTGTATTTGTTTTAAGCACTTAAATATTAATGCAAAGTTTCAATCCATTTGGATAAACCCTCAAAGAAAAAAGTGACAAAATTGATTTTGACTAGGGTCACCCCTAATCCAAAATTGAAAATGTATTTCCTATTTGCTTCTTTGCTCAAAAAAATTTTTGGATGTTTTATTTGTATTTGTTTTAAGCACTTGAATATTTATGCAAAGTTTCAATCCATTTGTATAAACCCTCGAAGAAAAAAGTGACAAATTGATTTCGACTAGAGTCGCCCCTAGTCCAAAATTGAAAATGTATTTCCTACTTGGTTCTTTGCTCAAAAAAATTTTGGGATGTTTTATTTGTATTTGTTTTAAGCACCAGAATATTTATGCAAAGTTTCAATCCATTTGTATAAACCCTCGAAGAAAAAAGTGACAAAATTGATTTTGACTAGGGTTACCCCTAGTCCAAAATTGAAAATGTATTTCCTACTTGGTTCTTTGCTCAAAAAATTTTAGGATATTTTATTTGTATTTGTTTTAAACATTAAAATATTTATGCAAAGTTTCAATCCATTTGGATAAACTTTCGAAGAAAAAATTGAGAAAATTGATTTTGACTATGGTCGCCCCTAGTCCAAAATTGAAAATGTATTTCCTACTTGGTTCTTTGCTCAAAAAATTTTTAAGATATTTTATTTGTATTTGTTTTAAGCACTAGAATATTTATGCAAAGTTTTAATCCATTTGGATAAACCCTCAAAGAAAAAAGTGACAAAATTGATTTTGACTAGTGTCACCCCTAATCCAAAATTGAAAATGTATTTCCTACTTGGTTCTTTGCTCAAAAAAATTTTGGGATGTTTTATTTGTATTTGTTTTAAGCACCAGAATATTTATGCAAAGTTTCAATCCATTTGTATAAACCCTCGAAGAAAAAAGTGACAAATTGATTTCGACTAGGGTCGCCCCTAGTCCAAAATTGAAAATGTATTTCCTACTTGGTTCTTTGTTCAAAAAAATTTAGAATGTTTTATTTGTATTTGTTTTAAGCACCAGAATATTTGTGCAAAGTTTCAATCCATTTGTATAAACCCTCGAAGAAAAAAATGACAAAATTGATTTTGACTAGGGTCGCCCCTAGTCCAAAATTAAAAATGTATTTCCTACTTGGTTCTTTGCTCAAAAAAATTTTAAGATGTTTTATTTGTATTTGTTTTAAGCACTAGAATATTTATGCAAAGTTTCAATCCATTTGTATAAACCCTCGAAGAAAAAAGTGACAAAATTGATTTTGACTAGAGTCGCCCCTAGTCCAAAATTGAAAATGTATTTCCTTCTTGTTTCTTTGCTCAAAAAAATTTTAGGATGTTTGATTTGTATTTGTTTTAAGTATTAGAATATTTATGCAAAGTTTTAATCCATTTGGATAAACCCTCGAAGAAAAACGTGACAAAATTGATTTCGACTAGGGTCGCCCCTTGTCCAAAATTGAAAATGTATTTCATACTTGGTTCTTTGCTCAAAAACATTTTGGGATGTTTTATTTGTATTTGTTTTAATCATTAAAATATTTATGCAAAGTTTCAATCCATTTG